GCTGCACTTCCACCGAAGACTTGGGCATCTCGCGTACGACACGGTCGAGCTTTAGCGAGAGAAATCGCGTCCGGCATCGCGCTAACGGATCGCAAGCGCCCGACGTGCATCTCTTGCGCACAGGGCAATCAAACGAGGAACGTGCAGTCGAAGAAGGACATTGGATCAAACCGGCCGATCGACAGAGTGGGGGGGTGATCTACTCAGACCTCAAGGGTCCGATGACCCCGAAGGATCGATCGCACAATCGTTACCTTGTCAACTTTGTCGATCACAAGTCGAACTACTGTCGCGTCTTCCTGGCGCCGACAAAGGACAAGGCGGCCAAGAAGTTTGAGCACTTCCTCGCGTTACTTGAGCGCCAGTTCGACAGCCGGATCCACGTGCTACGCACTGATGGCGGCGGCGAATACGCGAATGTCGACCTCTTCTGCAAGCGAACGGGCGTCGCGCGGCAGATCAGCGAGGCAAGGAATCAGGCATCAAACCGCAAGGCCGAGCGCATGCAGAGAACGATAATGAACATGGCGCGCAGCATGATCTTTACCAGCCGACTACCATTGACGTTTTGGGGCGATGCGGTTGAGTACGCGGCGTACATCCTCAACCACAGCCCAACGAGCGCGAATGCGAAGCGCGCATCGCCGATCGAGGTACTGACGAAGCAACGTCGGATCTGCGCGACATCGTCGTTCCTGGCTCTATCTGCTCGGTTTACCGTGACCTAGGCAAGAACTCGTTCGCACAGCGCGCACAAGTCGGCGTGATCATTGGGCAGAACGACGAGCTAAGGTCTTTCGCGTCTTCTTCCAAAAGGAGAACAAGGTCACGATCACGCAGCATGTGCGCAACATCGAGACGATCAGCGCAGAGCAGAACGGTCAGCTGCAGCGCGCGCTCGATTATGAAGATCGAGCCGTGGAGCCAGCGGCAACAGCAAGAACAAGCAAAGAGTCGCCGGCTGCGGACGATGCCGCATCGCAGACGATACGCGGTGGAAAGAAGAAATCGAAGTCGTGGACACACGCGTCTCACCGTACGCGCGTCGCAACCAAACGAGCACAGGCGGCCGGCGATCAGGAGGAGCCAGCTAGCGACGACAGCGTGGTGGGTCATGTGTATGAGTGCGACCCCAAGAACTACGGTGAAGCGCTATGCAGCACTAAGCGTGAAGGCTGGAAAAAGACCATGCGCGAAGAGCTACAAGCCCTAGAAGACAATGGCGTGTGGCGCTTGATCAAACGACCTCCGGGCAGCAAAACTCCGTACAGGAAGTGGGTCTTCAAGACCAAGACCGACGCGAACGGTGAGATAGAGCGCTTGAAGGCTCGACTGGTCGCCTGCGGCAACGAGCAAGTTTTTGGGGTCGACTACCAGCTTACATTCGCGGCTGTCATGGACATGTCGACCTTGAAGGTGATCTTGGCGCTTGCGGCGATATGGGGTGTCCCAGCAAAGCACGGCAACATCCCCAACGCTTATGTCAAGGCTGACAAGGAAGCACACCTGGAGATACTGCTCGAGGTGCCGCAGGCAATGAAAATCGGTCAAGACGCGTTCAAGATGGTAGGCGCAGCGACAAAGAAGGAAGTAGTGCTGCAGCTACAAAAGAGCCTGTACGGCCTCAAGCAGGCTGGCCGACTCTGGAGACAGCTCCTGCACGCTCGGCTGCTCGAAGCCGGCTTCCGGCAATGTATTTCAGACATGTGTCGATACTATCAAGTCGAGGGTGGACAGTTGGTCATCGTGGGCGTCTAAGTCGACGATCTACTTGCTACCGGCACGGGCGCTGCAGTTGTCGACCGATTCTTCGTCAAGCTCGGCAGCTTGTCAATCAAGGACATCGGTACCGTTAGCAAGTTCCTCGGCATGTTTGTCACGATTGACAACAGTGGCGGATACGTGCTCGACCAGGCCGAGGCGATCGGCGAGCTCCTGCGTGAGCACGGGCTCGAGGACGCAAACCCGACGAAAGCACCAATTGGGGCTGACTGCTACAACGTGCTACCAGATGACAGCGCGCTGCTCACCGAGACTAAGGTGCAGGGAGCGCCAACAATCAAGACGTTCCAGTCCCTTGTCGGCAGTCTGCTGTGGATCGCGCGCTGCACACGGCCGGACATCGCGTTCGCCGTGCACAAGGCGACGCGTCAGACTCATCAGCCGCGACTCCACGATATGAAGCTTGTCAAACGCATCGCGCGGTACCTGAAGGGGACGCGTGACTAAAAGCTTCGGATGGAACCAGCGAAGCACCTCGACGGCATGATCCAGACCGAGGCGTACTAGGACGCCGACTTTGCGGCGGAGAAGAGCGACAGGAAGTCCTTGAATGGCGACATCATCCGCCTGAACGGCATGCCGGTTAGCTGGACGTCGAAGAAGCAAGGCGGCGTTTCGCTCTCGACGATGGAAGCGGATTTCGTCGCTGCATCGGAGCAGGCGCGCGAGCTTCTTGGTATCAGGGAGATGCTAAACGAGATCGGTAAGCCGCCTACGCTACCGATGGTACTCCACCTCGACAATCAGGCGGGACTGAAGCAGCTGGCCGGCGAGGCGTCATCTCTCAAGGCCAAACACATCGATGTTCGCACGAAGTTCGTGTGCGACTTCGCTCGACGCGGGATCATCGTGTCGCAGTACGTCCGCTCGGAGCAACAACTCGCGGATCTTTTGACGAAGGCGCTGGACGCAGTCAAGCTCACGGCGCTGTGTGAGATGATCAGCCTCGGTTAGGACGGTAAGTCGTAGCCGAGGAGGAGTGTTAGAAAGAGGCACGGTTGAAGTTACAGTTGAGGAAACGGCTGACGACTTAGAGAGGCGTTTGAGGATCAGTTGAGTGATTGATTGGACAGGTGCGTGGATGGGTGATTGATTGGACAGAAGTGATGGAGAACAAGAACAGCTAGTCCATCCTGCTAGCACGGAAAAAGGTAACACTACAAACAATGTCAGAATCCTTTTATCACAGTACCACTGACTTCCTCTCTACAGCTTGCATCATGGCAAGCGAACAGGTGTATGTACTCGACCTCAAGTCAGCTCAATATGGCTATCGAGTTTGTCGCCTGATACGCGCGTCAACCTGTGAGCTCGTCTCCACCTATACATATTCGATCTAATGCTGACGATCCCTACGATCCGACTACACCTGACGTTGTATGACTTTTGTGAGTAAGATAGTTAGTCAATTGCCGAGTAGATGTCGATTGGAAAGTACTTCCGTCCAACTAAAACGTGATGTAGAGACACGAGTGGAGTCACCAGCAATCGATGCGACTGGAGCGGAAGCGACGTACTGAAACAGACAAATATGATCATTCTGTAGAGACGGTAGCGGTAACTTCGTTCGCACTTTATCGACTTGGTCCTCCATTCATTCCATACCTCATCCACCACCATCAAGCTTCTGAAAGGATTGCTACCGAAAGTAGTCCCTCCTGCTGCTGTGAGGTGCAAAATCAGCAATTAGATGCTTGCATATCGTGAGGTGTGTCGACAAGTAGCGTTTTGTTGCCAGGTTTCGGTCGTTGTCATCCGCAGGGTGTGGGTGTCCATCGATATGGACGTTGGCCAATCTAACGCCTTTGACGAGCCAAGTAAACGGTGTTTTCTGGCCGATAAGCAAGCGTGTCCATGTTCCGATCCTTGACGTCCGTGTCCCGCTCCGTGAGCGATAGTATAACAACTACGTGAAAGTCGTTTCGGTAAGATCAGAGGGTCCGCATGTGCTTCTTCGGATAGACCGTCTGGACACTGTTTATTCTTTTCAGCTTTGTACTGGGTCTGAACACGCCACGCTTTTCCTTCGTGACGTCGAGGCTCGACAACAAACACAACTGTCGTGTTACAGAAAGTGGCGCAGTAGAAGAATCGTCCACATGTCTGTGGTTTGTATCGCAATACGCTACAACCATCAATACGAAAAATGACCCACACGAGAAAACGAACCATTGTGAAATGTCGGACCGGAGCGATGTTACCATTGCATGTTTCCGTCCTTGACCCTTGCTGCGAGACTTGGGCCTGTGAGACGCGCGCAGGCTTCCATGAACGAGGCCAAGTCGGCTCGAAGCTAACCAACGCCCGGTAACTCTGATTTTCAAGTACCTCATTAGTCTGATCAACTGTGATTCTACAACCAGCGGAGACGAGCGACCGATGACATGCGGCTATAGACGATGTGGCACATCATAGTCGTGTTATTGATCCAAGCCGTGGCATTCGGCCATCGTCGCACATCACTGTTCTCTCAAGAAGCCGGTCATCGCGAAATGTTACACTCGTCATGAAGAAGCGGTCAGTTGTAGCCAAAAACAATCAGCCACAACCTCGAGTGCAGTTTTTGACTGGCTACGTGCAACAAGACCTTAGACAAATTGTACTACATGACCCACAATGGTTCATCACCGTCGTTTGAAAATTCTCAAGGTGCCTACTGGACGAGCCTTGTCGGACACACGCTTGTGCTTCTTGTGACTTTTCTACAACACCACAAGATTGCATCTTCTTGGCCTCATCAATTAGTCATAGCAGGTAATGTGCTACCGCGAAACAATCGCCATCGATGTCAAAGTCTCCAGCACGCGCGACCAACATCACTTTACTATCATCGTCGCTGGTCGCAACTCGGTACACTGCTAAATTCCGACCTGCTCATCCAATCGATCGAGTTGCGCCAAGCACGTTTCCAGGCAAGACGCTGCGACTGCTCAATCAAGCTGAAGGCCCTTTGCCGGGCAAAAGGGCGTTATCAACTGCTTCCATCAGTACACACCTCGACCGACCACTTGTCTGACGTTGTGCCCTCTGTGTGTCGTGCACTGTCGTGTCGTATGTTGCACCTTTTCTCCCTCGTGTACGCGCAACAAACGTGTCCGTCTTCGCGCAACATAACCTCGCCCGTGCCGCAACTCTGGCGCCAGCCCTCTCGCTTGCTCACTCACTCACTCTTTGCGCCTGGCAGGGAAAAGAACGGGAGCGAGTAAGTCGATCGAGACATGAGCGCGCCCATTGACGATCTGCTCTACGGCGGCGACGACGACTCGGGGGACGACAGCGAAATGCACAGTACGTACGTCTGTCACTCTGAGGTCCACACGCACACGCGCGTGCGCGCTCTCTCTCTCTCTCTCTCTCTCTCTCTCTCTCTCTCTCTCTTTGTGTTTGTTTCTTCCCCTCAGCTACTAACACGAGGCGTTGTACACTTGGGTCTATCTCGTTCTCGTAGCGTCGCTGCCTGTGCTTCGCTCGTACGCAGGTGTGCCACTCGCTGGTGCAGCGGTTGCACCCCCAGGGGGTCTGCTGTTAGCACCTGCGACAGGCGCACCGGCCGGTCTCAAGCCCGTGCCAGTGATGACGTCAGCTACGACAGGTGGCGCACCTCCGCCACTGGATCTACCGACGCTGTCGACTGGTGCGTCGGCGGCGCATACTTCAGTAGCAGCAGCAGCAGCAGCAACAGTCGCAGCAGCACGAGCACCAGCAGCAACTGTCGCTGCAGCACCTGTGGCGCCCGTGAAACAAGCGCCAGGCTCTGGCCAGCAGATGTTTCAGCAAATGTTTGCCTTGTTGAAGCAAATGCTGCCAGTCGAGCAGTACGCGACACTGCACTCGGAGATGCGGAAAGGCAATGGCAATGACATCAAGTCGATTGTTGAGATCATCAAGCGGATTGCAGGCGACGCGATTTTCTCGAGCGTGATCCAGAAAATGGACTTGACGAGGACGCTGCCTACTGCTGGTAGCACTGCTGCGACTGCTACTGCTGCTACTGCACCGGTACGATGTCAATGTTAGCGTAGCGTCGCTATTACTGTTGTTGTAGCTGTGGACCTTCCATCTACAGCTTTAACTGCTTGTTTGTTTGAGGAGAGTGTTTGTGGTTGACGAAAAGAGCTAACTTGTGTGGTGCTGTCTTGAACGTGTAGAGTACACTTGGCGCCGTGAAGGCTGAGCCAGGAGCTGCGACAGCTTCGTCGTCGATGTTGACCTCTGGAGTCTTAGGTGGGCCGTTGGCTGATAGGACAACGGGTCTGGCTGCGCGGCCAGTGGCGTCGACGATTGCTGCGGCACCGAAGCCCACGGCGATTGCGCCGAACACGCGACCGATTGCTGCAGCATCGCCTTCGCTGGCAGCTGCAGCGCCAGTAGCGATACCCACGTCGATTGCAGCACGACCAACGCAAGCCCAGCAACCGCCTGGGACAGCAAATACTCCACTAGCAAAGGGGTTGCATGATGGCGTAAAGCCGGAGCCGGCAGATACAGCAGCTACTGTATTCACATCGTCGTCGTCTCCTAGCACACCTCTAGGTGCCGGGCAGTCGAGGAATGAAGCTCTGGAGAAGATTTTGTTCGCCAAGCGCTTGCTATCGCATGCCGCAACGTGCTCGCTCTCTCATGGCGTTTGTCAGGTGAAGAAGTGTGACGATGTGCGCCGAGTATTCAAGCACAGCTTGTCTTGTGGAGGAGCAAACGGATGCTCGCACTGCGAACAGCTGAAGGGTCTCGTGAAGTATCATGCGAAGGAGTGTGCTGTCGGGATTGCCGAGCATTGCTCGATTCCATTTTGCGACGGCTTGCGGCGCACGTACGTACAGAGCCAAGCAGCCTCGGCGGCTAAGGTCAAAGCAGCCCAAGCGAGTGGAATGGTGGAGAGTGATGATGATGACGATAACACACCCCTGTCTTCCGCAGTGAACAAAGCCAAGAAGCTAGCAAAGGCAAAGTCTCCCAAGAGCGTGCCTGTTCGAGGTAGCGTCGTTGCTCAGCCTCTGAAGCGAAAAGGATCGATTACGTCGCTTGCTAGACCAAACAGCGCTACACCTCCTGGGCCCTCAGTAGTGGCAGCGCCTTCGAATGCTACGACAATAGCCACCGCATCAACAGCATTTCCCGCCTCAGCCGGCGCCAAGCCACAGCAGAAGAATGTTACTGCTAACATGACCCAGGAGTACGGTCGTCTGTTACAGCTGATTCTCCACGTAGAAAAGTGCACGACCAGTGCGTGCGCCGTTGGCGAAGAGTGTGCTGAGTCGAAGGCGATTATGAAGCAGATGGCTTCCCAGAACCCACCAGTATGTGCACTATATCTTGTTGGCACGAGTCCGAGCGACTTCTGACGAAATCTCTTTTGATGCTTTCAGGTTCGGGCCAAAACATACAAGCAAGTCTATGGTCACTACAAGACCTGTGTGGCGAAAAACAACACGGCGAATTGTCCGATGTGCAAAATCGGGCTGCTGCCCATCCTGCCAGCACCCAGCCCGGCATCATCATCATCTCATGCACAGATGGGCTTTAAGACGTCGATTGCACCCGCGAATGCTGTTGCGGCCAGCACCGTCGCGACTTTTCCTGTGTCCGGGGACTCCAACAAGCGTGGAAATAGTGCAGTGTCACCGGCGCCGCGCTCCCCCGTTGAAGAAGCCACGGACTAATTCGACGAGTCGGGTGAAGTCGACGGCGGTAGAAGTGGCTGCACAAATGGCTGCTGCATCCGACTTGGTCAACCAAGAGCTTGCTCAAGCCAGCGTGATGGACATTCGCAAAGAAGCTGATGTTCTCACACATACGAACATCGAGCTAGGCACGGAAAGACGAATAATGTTGGAAGGCGATCTGCGACGTGTACGAATGGAAGAGCAGCTGCCGTGTCAGAAGGAAGGTTGGGTGGAAAAGGACTTATTTAATTCCGAGAAATTGCGCGCCCAGATGCGTGACGCTGCTCGACGGTCAGGCGTCGAACTTGGAGGTCAGACAAGCGAGGTGATGTCGTACGCTCTGCATGAGTATCTGAAGCAGGTGATGGAAGAAATGGTTGAGATCGCGAAGCATCGAGGGGACTCGCAAGCGCAGTCGTTTGAGGCATTGCAAAAAGCGCGAAGGGCTGGAGCGATGATGGACGGGCGATGGGGGAATCGGATGGAGCTATCGGCGACCGATATTTTACGCGTCAGTTGCGAAGATTCGTTTACGAAATTAGCGCAGGAAGATATGGTGTTGCGATCGCAGCTGTTGGAAGATGCTAGACGCGAGGAGCAAATTGAGAAGGAACGGGCGAAGAAGCGCAAGAAGGTGGACCGCAGTAAGCTGAATCAGGACGAGCGAGACGAAGCCGAGATGGATATTGAAGAGCTGGCTGTAAAGGATCTGAAGGAGCGTCTGCTGCAGCAGGATAAGGAGGGCGTTGTGAGGGTGGCTGGCCGCGTCAACGAGAGCATATCCGTCAAGTACGCGTCGCGGGTGCCTGACAATCAAGTGACTTTGGAGGACGCCAACTACTGGCTTGTAAGTCAGAAGCCGTATATCCGTCCCAAGCTGTTTCTGCGTGCCGAGGCTGCGCGCATTGTGACGAAGTCTCTCCTCTGATGGCGGTGCCATGTGAACCACAGAGAGCTCACGGCACTGGCTACAACGCAAACGAGCGATAACTTAAAAGCGCTTCCACTGGTCCCCCGCCATTCGCAACCGATGGACCAACCGTTCATTTGCAACGACGAACCAGCTACGCCTCAAACCGCGAGTGGATTCGCACGTCGCCCTTTTGTGCAGCGACCGGGACATTGGCGGTGGGGAAGGCGTACACGTCTGATTCGATTGCGGACGCTCCTAGGACGACGGCAGCATGTCAAGTCGGACGGCGACCAGTCAGTGAAAGTGCAGTCTTGTGCAGTTGGTGGCAGGCCTTTGTTCTCACCTGGAATAGCGTAGGAATCAGCAACGTAGACGTCTTGGCCATTGTTTCGCAGTTCCACAAAGTGTGTGCGTTGCTTGACGCCCTTGGACTTGAGCGTGGGCGACGACGGCTGCAGTTGTCCGGCCGAGGTCCTGGCCATGTTGACACCCAGGTACAGTCCTTCCCCCGTCTCGACTGCAATGTGGTAGGCGTGCCACGGACACTTGATCGTGGTCTTGCCGCCTATTTCTTCAATGTCTCCATGAACGAGAGGTCCGCCGTGGTCTGCATGCAAAAAAGCTCCGACGAAAGTCAGACTTGGCGCATGGGTCGTATGCGTACGTACAGGAGCGGAGGCACTTGTCATACGATAACACGCCTGGTCCATGCAGAAAACTTGTCCCCGGACGTTGAGCAGCATCACGCTGCGACGGGACGTCGGTAGCTCGACGCACTTCTTGGCCATGGGCGGCAGGTCCGACAGCGTACACACAAACTCGTAGTGGAGCAAATCCCTGGACATGACTTGCAATGTTTCGGTCCGAGTCGTGACGTGGGCGTTTACCAGTCGCGTGACGGAGTCGGTCGGTCACTTGAATCGTCTGTGAGCCTGCGACTATACAGTACAGTTATCATAAACGCACGTGCTGAACGCACTGTTTGAGAAGAGACTAATCAGCAGCAGACGTGTCGATGAAGAACTCCTTGAGCGGTTGCAGGATGGCGAATAGCTGCTGGACGCTGCCTCTGACTGGCCACACCGGTTCGCCTCGCAAGTCCGGTACTTGTACGGAACGGGCCACCTCGAGTGACGACTCTTGCGCGTGTCTGGCTGTGACTTTGCTTTGGCTCAGGACAAAAGTAGACAGACGTGCTCGATGTCGTTTGCTGTGAATCCGCCGGCACTATCGCTTTGTCACCGCTCAGAGGCGTCACGTGTCTTTTCATTCGAACGCGTGACGCCGCTGTCGTTGGTGCAGGCGTTTGTTGTGTCCCGAAAATTTTAGCTGCTCAGTGGATGTACTACAGGCGCTCTTCTATGCGTCTGCGTACGCTGCCACCTCGTCAAGATGAAATGGTCTTGAGGTCGTGCGATGCCCCTTGACTTCCTTGGATAGCTCTGGTGTCATTCTGCTTGCGCTGTGTGCGAAGCAGCCGTGTATGCGTTCCAACTCGAAGCGTTTGTTCTTCCGCCCAGTGGACACGAGCTGCTGCCAGCAGCTGCAGGCACTTTGACTTGTGTCGCACGTGCAGTTTGTCGTCAACTACTGCATACCCTCCCACTCTGAACAACGACTGACATACCCTCCCACTCTGAACAACGACTTCCTCCTCGTTACAGTGCTTGACGTGTGGCAGTTGGCACTACTTCGCTGAAGTCGGCAATGTGACCAACGAGCGCCTTCGTTCTTGCCGCTGCGATTCTGAGATCATGCTCCATCCTTCCACCCGTCTCACGAGGGACGGGTTAAACATCCCCAACTGAAAGACTACCTGTCCCCAAGTCTATCCCCAACTACACAAAGACATTTAGTCAGTTATTTTTGGGTCGTAATTTGTGCTCGTCTTGACAGATGGCAAAACGACAGCGGTACATAGCCTTGCGTCTTGCGATCAATACAAATATATGTATATTTAAACATATGTAGATCTATATATGAATATGGGATTTTTTACATATATAAAAAATCCCCCCACACACCAGTGCTAAACGTTACGTCTTAGCGTTTGGAAACAAACACCAAGAAATACGAGCTAAACTACGGCACTGACGTAAGACAAGTTCGATTCAAGGTGCTGCACTGAAGTAAAACAGGTTCGAGCCAGGTACGTGCTGCACTGACGTAAGGCAGGTTCAATCCGGTACGTGCAGCAAAGCTTACTGTTTACCTTCATTTGATCCTATCGCGACTTATAAAGCTACTGGTTTCAGATTTCTGGATGGAGAATCGTCAGCAAGACAACGACTGCTCAATTACGTCCCCTAGCAGTCCGAGGTTGATGGCAACATGCGACCTGACGTGTCGAATATAAGTAGAAAGTCGATGCCATGTGTGTCCACTACTGGAGCGAAGGACAGTAGCTAATCTAGCGACAGGCGTCACAGGTAGGTGGTATTCGCATTGTTAACGTACTTGTCTAATTTATTTGTGCCCATGATGTTCAACAGGCCACTCAATTCCTACCTTCAGCACCATTCATGATGATTTTCTGCCAGAGGTGTCGAGTGTAAATGATTCTATGGCGTGTACTGAACAAGTGTATAAAGCAGCAGCTATAATAGGCGATAAATCATTGTTTTAAGTGTCTGGAGGACAAGGCCAATCGTATTCACAATCTGAATATGATTCGAGAAAAGAAAACACTTCGAGAAGACATTGCTACAGCCAGTTGTACCGTGGACTGACTCCACCTCTTCCGGTGGATCACCGACATGTCACGGGGCAGGATACTATGGGCTACCAGGAAGTATTAAATCAAGAGCGGCATCTTCATTTTCCAAGTATTTGCCCCGCACCCGATCAAGTACATGTTTAATATCCTTCCGGTCACTCCAAATACGATTAAGGTCACGGATATCGTCTATATTAGAAGAGAACCTTCATTACTTTGAGACTAGCACTTGTATGATGGGTGCTTATCAAATGAGGTGGTAATGGTGGTGCTACTTTTAAGTTTCATGGCAATGATCGGCACACCCCACCGCTTCACTTTAACACACTGAATCCATACATGATGTTCTTGCTTACATCACGGTCGTCAACGTTGACATCTACTTAAAAAATGCTAACAGTTTAACAATCAATGCTTTGACATTACACGAATTATTGCTATGAATGTTTCTCAATCAAGCCGATTTGCTGTATCATAAGCATGCCAATGTCTGCACGCATATGCTTGTTTGTTGCAAAAATCAATGATGAGGATGCCCTGTATGTCCTTAAGCCAACTTATCATACATGTAATCACGCGCTTCGTATAACAAGAATTAAATAATTGTTAACGAAAGTTCGCATGCACGAGATGCGTTTAAAGTTCTAAGACAAGATTTGAGCACGTAGCTGGTCTCGGCATAAGTTTAATTTCATTTTACATCTTAAATGCATTAGCATCGACACGCGTGATCCGGACCTCGCGTCATGTTGTTGCTGCAGCTCACTGAGTGCGTACCGTAGTACCTTCATCTGCCAAAGCTCGAGCTATCAGTATCCATACACGCTCGAGGCTGGACAATTCATTCAACGAATAAGTGACTCTGTAATATATATTAACATGCGCCGAGTATCCGTTAGATATTAGTAGACAGCTGCGGTAACAACAGTGGCCTCGTTACCTTAGCATCTGCTGGTTGTAGACGTATTCGCCAGTCCACTGCATACCATTGACCCCGGAGCGCTTGAGTATGTAAAAATATTTAAAGAACAGGGTCACTTACGTACCTTGCAACCTAGCACTCTTCATGACGTAGGCTTATCAGCAGCTTGAGAGCGACGGCGTATCCACACTGATTATCCAGTCATCCTGTCATTCACGATACAGATGTGCCCAACATTAGATTGCAGCTGCATACTGTCATCGTTTGAAGCGACATGCGCGTCGGAAAAGAATCACAAGACTGTCATGCTGAGCAAAACAGTCTGTCACTTCCCTTTAATTCTTGTCTTGTGAGCTCCTTCTAGATCCTGGCGTTGTCCACTGACCCCTGTACATCAACGACATAGGTGCACACTAGTATGCAAAATCAATGCCATTTACATCTTGTTCTGTCAGAAAGTGTGCTCAGTCGCAGGACAGCTCGTCAACTTTTACATATCGCCCTGAAGTTGCAGAAGAATGATTAGCTACTTGTCAGAGCCTCAATTTGTATGCCGTAGGCGGATCACGGTCCTACCTTATTCCGATGGTTTCGTTTACGTAGGTCCGCGTTCATTCATAGGAATGCAATTGCGGCTAGAGGTGACACATTGCATGTAAGGCTCGGCTTTATGGGCTCGTTCGCCTCCTCTTGAAACGGCGGGGACCCGGGCAGGGTCGTGGTTTTCCTACAAGCTCGATGGTGTTCTTTGAGCTTCTCTTAGCGTAGAACTCGGTGCTATGTACCGCTGTCGTTTTGCCAACTGTCAAGGTGAGCACAAATTACGACCCAAAAATAACTGACTAAATGTCTCTGTGTAGTTGGGGATAGACTTGGGGACAGGTAGTCTTTCAGCTGGGGATGTTTAACCCGTCCCGTCTCACGAGCGTAGGCAGCATATGGGATCCATACGTCGAAATCTTTTTCCACTTTCCATCTGCCATCCTCAATCGTATGCAACATCACATGTGATGCGCAAAAGCGAGTGACTCACGATAGCTCACATCTGTCATCGCTGTAATGCTAACGCCCCGTTACTAGCGGTGTCGAGTACCAATCGATGTCTGCCGCCATGTGGTGTGTTCGCGTGTGCGGCAGCAACATATTGGCAGAAGATTCCGGATCCACAACCCAATGAAGATACATTAGCTGATGTCACTCGTGAGATCCGTGAGGTGGCGAGGGAAACCCCCCATCGTTGTCCTCACTCGGGCCAGCTACACAGTCCGTCTCTCTCAGCTAATCCATGCTGAGTCTCGACGTTACCAATGCGAATATACGACTGAGCCGACCAGCTCCATCCCATGTCGCCACTTTCGGCAAAACCACGTGGCACCATTTGTCTCAGAAGGTGGATGCTATGGATCTCCTACGCCCTTGTGGCGTACGATACGACTTGCTGTAAAACGAGGACCGGATCAGCCCCTTCGACAGCGTATAACATCAGAAGAGCGACAAGATGCAGCAAATAATGGATCGAATGACGAGCACTTGCGCCGCTTTCTACGTACCTCCCGACGTGGGAGTTTCGTACTTGACAGTAAATGGTTCTCCTCTGTCGTCTATGACAATGGCTCATCCCGACCTTGCGGTGCCTATCGAATCGGGGGAAGCCATGATGGCAAAATCGTCGTCGGTCTTTGACGTATCTGTAGCTGTATCGCAGACCGTCCCGCTCGTGGGCGACCTCGGTGTCGTCTCTGGTGCTTTCGGCTCGGCCGCCACACCCTTCTTGGAAAAGTGCGACCCGAGCTTGACAAAGATGCCCGACAGGATCGAGGCCACAACGAGGGACTTGGCCCACACGAGGTAGCCTGCGTCGTCAATGACGTTGCCCATCACGGCACTGGAGAGACCGGTCGAGAAGTACCCGACGGCGTGCATAACACCTGTGGCGCCAGCTGCAATGTCCTGCGGTAGATCCGTTGGAACGGTGTAGCTCAGCAGCGTGTAGTTGCCGAGAATAAATACACTCGCGAGGAACGTGAGCGCGCCCAGAGTCAAGACACTGCACGAGGGGCTGATGGCGTAAATGACGCCGAGCACCAGAGCCTGGAGCATCGAAAAGACAAAGATGGGCTTGACCCGATCCGAGTCAAAGACAACGTCGCTGATCCAGCCACAGAGAATGCCGCCGACGAACCCGCCAAAGGTCCATGCGCCGCCAATGATCGACGTGTCGCTCGACGAGAGCGGCAGCTCCCGCACGTCGTTGAAGAACGAGAGGAACCAATTGAGGAACCCGTCGCGTACCCAGCACAGGAAAAACAAAGCCGCGAGGTAGCCGAGGAACGTAAAGTTCTTCAGGAGCTGTTTCATCTGCTGCGCGGGCGTGAGGAGCTGGACTTTGATGCCTTCTTCACGCAACGGACCCAGAGGCGGCAGTGGGCCTTCGCGGGTCGGCAATTGGTCGGCCGACAAGTGCTTTGTGTCGGCCGGCGAGTTCTTGACCGCCAGTGCGACGACAATGGACATGAGCAACAGCGTTCCGCCGGGAATGATAAACACGTACGACCACCCGAGCGTTTCGATAATGCTACTGCCAGAGCCCAACGACATGAAGTATCCGCTCGTGAGCATGACGTTGAACACGCCGGCAAAGATGCCGCGTTCGCTGGCCGTGTACCACGCGGCGTTGATCTTGACAACGGCACTCGTGCCGAAGCCCTGCATCAGGATATTGGCGGCGTAGAACACGGCGAAGAGGCTCTTGGTGACTGTGAGCTTGGAGTCGCTGGTGAGGAAGATCGCGCCGATTGCGAGATTGCACATAGCTGCACCTACGCACGCGATGATCATACCGTTTCGACCGCCAATGCGGTCGGTGATGATCCCGGTCACAGGGGAGCTGATGGCGTATGCCCACGATCCAGCCGACAAGACCCTAATGGTGACGTTGCAAACACATGAACCAGTCAGTAAAGGGGTAACGGGTCACCACGAACGAGGTGCTCAACAGCGAGGGTACAAGCAGTAACGCACCAGCCCATGTACGACGACGAGAAGCCGAGTTGATTGCGGATGGACGACACATTGCCCGCACTGACGTTGTACCGAGCCATGTAAAACGACGCGTAAGCCACACCCATGGGGAACCAATTTTGCAAGCGCCGCCATCTGCAAAATGATCGAAAGTAGCAGCAACAACAACAACAGCAACAGCAATCACAAGAACTACTGTCAGATGTACATCTCTAGTGGGTTTTCGAAAGAGCTGTCACATGGGGCACGACGTACCGGTAACCTCTCGAATGCAGTTTTCGTGCTTGAGGACTCAACTCGACGTCATAGATGACACTGCAGACGACGAACCCGAGGATCAGTACCGAAGTTACCACTTGAGCACTCATCGATTGTGTGGGTGTGGGTGTATGTCGAAGTGGTCGGACTGTGTGAGTCAGACTGAGTGTGGGTATGTATGTATGGGTGGGGGTGTCGTCGCGTTTTGGTTTACCCCGGACAATGAAAAGTGGAGAGTGGGCGAGTTCAAGGGCCCGTGTTCGAGAGACGGAGAGGAGAGAGAGAGAGGACACGAGACAAAGATAGGGAGAGCGCAAGTCATCTCGCGCGCTATGCTGCGATCAGTTATTTATCGCACGTAGGCGTCATTTCTGAGCCCATTGCTCTCCTTTATGCAACTTGCTGTTGCTGCTGCGACGGCCGCTGTAACGGCCCCTCGGCACAGGGCCCAGGAAGCGACCGACCCCGCGGGCTGTCATCCGAATTCGGAACATGGGACTGCACTGGCCATAAGGACGCACGTGAACGAACGACCGACTCGCCCCATTGCTCGCGACGAGTGGCAGCATCTGAACTTGCACTGACTTTGTGTCGTCCTCTGTGTGCGTAAACACGTCCTCTGGTCAGCATTACTATTGCTCCTCACTTGAAGATGCGTCCGCCCGCCCACTATGCTCGTCAAAAAGGGGTAAACACGTTCCTGTGCTGCGACATGAGTGCCCGCCGCCCACGCGCTCAGCTTTTCCGGGTTCCTCAGCCTCTTGTGACCTGTCGGTTCCCATGTGCTGCAACTGATACGGAGATGAAACCCCCGACTTCGCACTGCGCAGCTGATGCGGTAAAGGCGGTGCTTGTCTTCCCTCAGCTTCAGCTTCTTCTTCTTCTTCTTCTTCGTCCTCTTCTTCGTCCTCTTCTTCTGTTGCAGCGATAGTCGCACAAGCAGATACAGAGTGTCGTTTCACGATTTTTTGCCTCCTCCTGCGTCGTGTCGTGCATAACGGCGCATCATCAGTTCGTGAGAGGCTTCAGACAGGCTCCTCCATCTTCGCCATTCGTGCACTCGTCCATCAAAGTGTTGCCATCTCGCGGCGACGCGATAGTTTCCAACCAGTCGTCGAGTGATCTACAGATCACTCCCATAGCGACCAGGAAAGTGTTGGCGTGCAAGAACAGAGACCTCTTTTTCTTTATTTCCAAATTGAAGTACTCCGTGCACCGATAACATGTCGCAGTAGTCGGCGAAGATGGGGCCGAAGAAGCCGACGGCTGCCATGTGTACGAGATGACGACGAAGGTTCTGCGCACGTGCGTAATCACGTGTCGCTGCGGGTCAAAGGCTGTCGTCATTCCTCTGTCGCGTCTTTATTGCACCATCTAAGCTGAGACACGGCCACAAGAGTGCTACTATCAACACAATTGACTGCGGCTATTGTACTTCGATGCACACGACGATCGATCAATGGATCGGGAAAGAGACGGCCGATACAAACGGAGCGAGTCGACGACAATGCCGACGCCGTCCGTCCAACGCGTCTGTGAGGCGACAAAACAGCGATCCGATCGATGCTGCTGGCGCTCTTCTTTCTACTGTCGAAACGGGCACTGCCTTCATGTCCTTTTTGCATTGGCGAGTAACGCGCGACAAGACACAGTGAAGAGACAGACCATTACTGCAACTTGCTCCTGGATCGACTGGCCATCTACTGACCTTTGCCGTAACGAATCCCACAAACGAAGATACGGTGTTGTGGGCACACGTCGCGTTTCTCGTATCGCCACTCGACGTTTGACGATACGCTTCAGTATCCTTCGTCTGGATCGTCTTGGGGCTCAGTTTTCGTTCAGCGAAACAGCGTACCATGCGATGCTGTACTACGATGCGCTCGAACCGTTCCCAGCGCTTGTCGCAGCGTCCACTTTCGTCACTTGCTCGATGGCAAGCGCAACGTCTGCTGGCTCGAAGTCCACACGCAGTTGCAATAGATTGACGATCGTATCCACAGAAAGCTCTTCCCGTAATCGCGGGAGGTCGTCGACAACGTGCGACGGCTGCGTGAGGTTCAGAATGAACAGCAGCTGAAAGAGTCGCGTAAACGATGCACGCAGACTCTTCTCGACCACCAACGTCGATAGCAGCGCGAGGATATCAGTCACTTCACGCTCGAGCTGCAGCGCCCCCAATTCGTTGCAAGGTTTCTTGACGGCCAGCAATGTGCTCTCTAGACAACTAGTTATCTCCTGCGCAACGGCTTCAACCAAGTCTTCGAATGGAGCGCTGCAGAGGGCACGTTCGTAGCGCCGCAGTTCGCAGTTCTTCATGACTTCACGCTCGATCAGTCGCACCAGCGGCGATCCCCGCGAGCCAAACGCATCGTACTCTGCTGACGTCAGCACGTACTTCAGCTGCTCGTCCATCAAGTGTCGAATCACTTCCAGCAATCGCTTTCGCATGGATCGAGACAGCACTTCCTGCACCTCGTTCGACACGATCGAGTGGAAGGCTTCTGTCATGTCGTGGATGGGCGTAGGCAGGCAGTCGAGGATCAGAGCTTCGTGCGGAAAACTCGTGCGTGAGTACTCGTCAATCTTTTCTTCCAGCGCTTGGACAAACTTGCCACTCATGAACGCCGAGTTGATGGTCATAAACAGCTTTGCTTCTTCCTGCAGAGCTCGTTTTAGATCTTCATCGACTGCCTGAAGCAGTGCGTCGGAGAACGACACGACTGCTGCATCAGTCGCGCTGTCATCCGCCCTGGCGTTACCACCGTCGATCGAGCTTGTCGAGGCTGCTTCGGCGAGGCTCATTGGGATCACGCACGGTCGACTAGGCAGCACCAGTATAGCTGGCAAGTACAGCGACTCCATAGCGTCTACGAGCGCAATCACAATAGACAAGGCAGTGTGGTACGTCAAGCTACAGCAAGTACAGCAACAACAGCAACAACAATGCAGCAGCAGCAGCAATAGCAGCAACAGCAGCAGTTGGTCAGTCAGTACAGGCTACAGATCCGTAGCCTTCCACGCACGCACGCACGCAAGCACTCCCCCTCATGAGCAGACAACGTACCACTGCGACGCTCGATAGAACGCCTTGTTCAGCACGAACGACACGTCTTCCACGACACTCGACACGTACACGCCGGCCTCGAGTGCCTGCGGCTCGGCAATAGCGGTCGCTTTCTGCACCGACTGACGCACGTAAAAGCGCTCGAGCAGCACGTACACGCCCGCGAGCTCCTGCACTTGAGCGCGAAAGCCACAGGCGTCGGTCGTGCCTGCGTCCGGCCACAACGTCTGGACAAACGCTGCGTAGCTCTCGAGCACGCGCAGCAGACACGTGAGCTCGTCGAGACACAGGTCCATCATCTGCAAACTCTCGTCCGCCGCCACTGCGTCGTCTGCCGCCGCCTGCGCCTTCCGCTCCCACGCGCCCACGCGCGCGTCGCCGGCGTACAGCTGCACGAGCGCCAGCGCCGTCGCGCCACACGACTCGTGGATCGGCTCGAGCACGCGCCGCGTCACCGACGAGTCGCCGCGCGGCCCCACGACGTCGGCCACTGCGTTCATAATGTCCGTCGCGCCCGTCACGAGCTCACGCAGCGCGTCGACGTACAGCAGGCGGTCAATGTAGCCATGTGCGTTGCCCCGCGCCGTCGCGCGATGCGCTGTTACGCGGTCGAGACACGCGCGCGCTTGGGCCGCAAAGAGGCGTTCGAGGCAGTGGGCAAAGGGCGCAGCAGCGCTTGGGCCGGCGCCCAGTACGACGCAGTGCGCAAAGGCCGCGAGCGCTGCGTCGACGTCGACGCGGGCAGTGCACGCGCGTCGCAGGTGCGCGAGCGAGAGGTCGTGCAGGCGGTGCGCTTTGCGGTCGCAGCTGCGGCGGATCTCGTCGCGGACGGCCGACGTCGCGGGGGACGTCGGGGGGGACGACGGGGCGCGCAGGGCGTCGAGCGCGCGGCAGACGCGGGCGATGTGGCGGTCGGCGAGCGCCAAGTGGAAGGCCGTGACGCTGTGCTCAAAGGACATGTGGGGGTACGATGGGGGGGGAGTGGGGGGTTACGCGGGGGGGTGACGTGACGTGACGGACAAACGGACAGATGGACGCGCAGACGGGGACGGGGATGGGGATGGGGGAAGGAGAGAGGTCGGTTGGTGTGGTGTAGTGTGGTGTGGTGTGGTGGTTGCGGATTCAGGGGGCGAGACGGGTGGGTGCGGCGTGCGGCGGTGCTGGATGAAACGGTGTTCGAACGGGGAGGGGGAGGGCGGGGGGGGGGCTCGAACGATATTGTGATATGATCTGCGACGAGATGGATGATCCGTTCAAATGTGGTCAGTGGGCATGCGGTCGGTGATATGATATGTGACGCGTGTTGACGATACGTTCGAAGGCGATCCGTGATGCGCTGTGTTACAATCGTCCGGTGCATCAGACCAGTGGGCAAACGGATCGACGCGTGCATGACGGCCAACAATTGATGGGCGCCGTGTCCACCCGTGTATTCACGTCGACACGTGGGTGCTTCGTCGAGTCGACGCGCGTGAGCCTTGAAGGTTACTTGCCCACGAGCGGTCGAATGACGGCACTCGTTGCTGCAAAGACGTCGTCCACGCCGAGCGTCGCGTCCACCTTGAACACCTTCTTCTGCTGCTCGTAGTACTGGACAACAGGCAGCGTCGAGTCCAAGTACGTGCGGAAGCGCTTGCGGATGGCGTCGGCATTGTCGTCCGAGCGGCCACTCGTCTTGCCGCGCTCGAGCAGCCGCTGCTCCATGACGCGCTCGTTGCAGTCAAAGAACAACACGCCCTGCACGTGGAACTCGGCTTCGGGCATGGCGGCCTGCCAGCCGCGCAGGTTGTCAAAGTTGCGCGGGAACCCGTCAATGAGGAACAGGTCGCGGCCGCTCGTGACCATCGCCCGCTGCAAGAGACTCAGCGTGATCTGCACGGGCACGATCTGTCCTTCTTTGATCATGCTGTCAATCAGTTGGCCATTCACTGAGCCCGACTGACGCTCGGCCCGTAGCAGATCCCCCGCCTACAAGACACACAGAGCACCATCAGTTGCTGTCTCGTACAAGTATACACGACCTCCCCCCCCCACACACACAATACCCGTCAAGAGGTGTGCGTGGCCACTACAGGCGGCACAAGTGTACGCCCTGCTGTACGTACATTCGTCCACATATACGTACCGACAAGTGCACAAAGCCGAACGCCTCGACGAGCTTCGCGCACTGCGTGCCTTTGCCCGCGCCGGGGCCGCCCAGTACAAAGAGGATCTGTTTCGTCAGCATCGGGTTGTGAACTGACGCGGGTGTGCGTACGAACGAGCGCGTGCGCGCGTGCATGTACGACCGTGCGGACCAAAGTCGAGGCGACTGTCCGTCCAACTGTGGACCCAGCCTACACTAGGATCGCTCGGACCTAGCCGCACCTGCGAAACCTGTCAAACTTAGTGCCCGCACCCCTGCCGCTTCGACATGAGCGCAGAGCCCATGAAGGATCGCTTCCAGCAGCCGCACAAAGCCGGCAGCGCCGCGATGCAGAGCGCGCACCACGTGGCGATCGACATGACGGGAAGCGCGTCGCTGGACGTGGCGCTGGCGCGCGACGAGGCGCTCACTCGTTTCCGCGACATCAATTGGGCGACGTACACGCGGTAGGACCGACGGCATCAAGTCACTTGTGTGTGTGGATCCTGTAGGACTGGATGGACTCTCTGAGTTAATATGTGGGGTCCGAACGGGTATGTTTGAATTGATGTTGTGGGCTGTTGGTTGGGGACCCCTAGTGCCGGTGGGTTTACCCTCGAGAAGGCAGAGATTGCAGCAATTAAAGACCTGGAAAAAGTGATCAAGTCGAGCCCCGACGATGCGGTGAATGTGCGGATGAGTCGAACCTGTCAAAAATGATAATGATCCGATCCATTTGACCTGTTGGGCTCTAACTAACCTGTACGCGTACTTGTGTGCTCTGGATACTGTGGCCTGCACCTCTTTGTTAGGCACATGCGGTCGACGAGTTTATGAGCGGTGAGGACCAGCAGCAAACGTCGGGTTGCCGTCGTGTTGAAGGCTCACGTTTGTTGTGTGGACGATGACGGTGGTGCTGATGCTGATGATCTGTAGCTGCTGGCTCTTCTGTGGGCACTGCGCTGCTCAAGTTGATCAAGAACGTGACGGACCCGACGGTGCTCAAGTACTGTCTCGCTCGCATGGAGGAACTGCTGCCGGGTAAAACAACACGAACAGCGGGTGGTGGTGCTGTGAGTTGGACACTTACGGGACTCACTGCGTTGGTTGCTGGGCATGACAGATGGACTGCGTCTGCGCAAACGGATGGTGTACTTTGTGCCAGAAGGCAGGACGGTGGATGCAGCACCGTTCTTTCGGCTGATCCGCAACGACACGGGCTACATGCAGTTTGCTGCTAGCCATTTGCTCGCACTGTTTCTTACGTACGTGATACGAGCGGAATGTGAATGGTCGGATCTCGCTTTAGGACTAGATTGCTAAGACGTATCGCGTGTGATGCTGCTTGGTCCAGAATCCGACCGAAACAAGACGATGCCGAAGTTCTGAGCCAGTGGGCGATCCAAGCGTTGACGACGGGTTCATTGCAGGCTTCTACGAACGACCCGAGCCGTGCAAATGTTACACGTGCTGCGGCTGCAACACTGATGGTGCTACTACGTAACGAGGCGCTGCGAGTGCTTTTCGTCAAACTTGGGGGCGTGGCTACGTAAGTAGACTTGCTGCTTTTGTCGACAGGAGTGCATGCTCAAGCTGTCTTGTTGCCATGTCGATAGAGTGGTGAACTTACTGGAGTGCTCTCAGAACCGCGCACAACTCGCGTACGAGGTACACTCTGCAGCAGATGCGTTGTGGCTTGACTGGGCGTATGCTGAGTATGTGATTGATCTTGCGAACTGCTTGCAGCTCACGTTCATTCTATGGACCTTGGCGTTCTGCGACGACGCTTTGGAAAAGTTCGCGGCTGCTAATGCACTGGACGCGATCGTGCTCCAAGTGGCAGCAGCCCCACGTGAGAAAGTCGTGCGCGTTGCTCTCGAAGCGCTTCAGGTGTGACAGAGTCATGACGTTGCAGGCCATGGATGTTGCTGATCGATGTTTCGTTTCCGCGCAGAACTTACTTGGCAAGCTCAGTGGCTTCTTTGACGAGCGCATGATTGAGAGCGGGCTTATGAAGACTCTGAACAACATGCGCGAGCGGAAGTGGGCGGATGATGATATCGTGAAGGGTATCCAGGCTGTCCGTGACGTGCTCATTCGCGAGTACAAAGAGCTGAAGTAAGAGAGCAACTGTATCTGACCAGTGTTTTCTCGCTGATCATTGCGGCTGATCGATGTCGCTGATCAATGTGTGTCGCGATGCGCGTTGTGTCTAGCACTATGGAGCGGTACGAAAAAGAGCTACGAACGGGAACACTGAACTGGGGGCTCCTGCACACGGACAAGTTTTGGAAGGACAACTTTATGACGTTTGAGCAGAAGGACTTTGAGCTTATCCGGTAAGCGACCGATCGCGTGTGGCAATGTTTGTTCGTGCTTTTGTTTGTCCTCGCTCCTCACGCTGGATCTGATTGCTGCAGGCTGTTGATCGATCTGCTGGAATCTGACAAGCCCAAGACAGTGGCTGTAGCCCTTTTCGATTTGGGCGAGTTCGTGCGCTTCTATCCGAATGGCAAGCACATTGCCAAGCGACTTGGAGCGAAGAGGGTCGCAATGAAGCTCATGACGCACGAAAACGGAGAAGTGCAGAAGCATGCCCTTCAGTGCATCTCGAAGATGATGGTCAACAAGTGGGAGTTTGTCAAGTAAGCAAGCAAGCAGCAGAATGGCATGCAGACATATTGCTGCTTTGTTTTCCAGTTTTATTTTTACGTGTGAGCTGCCGCAACTTGGGTGTGGCGGAATGAGTGCCCTCCAGTGCATTGCGTGCAGTCAAGAGCAGGATCTAGCGGACAGCCAACGTAGGAATGCAATCAATACTTGTCTCGCATCTCGAATGACATGTTCAGCCGTGGCGTACATTGTCGTGTGTTGGTAGTATCAGTACTACTACCGATGAGACATCATCGTACAGCCAGCCAAAAAAAGCGCATGATCGGTGTCAACTACACTGGCAGCACCTGCTGCCATGGCCAAGTAACGTCATGGCCAAGCAACGGACAAGTGCCTTCGCTGCTGATTGCATCGTGAACGACTTATTGGGCGTTTACCCACGCGCGCCAGAGACCGACAGCCGCTTCTGCTGCGCAGAGAAAACTCACGAAGCGGTCTTCGACAAACGTACAGACACATACATACAACTTGAGCTTGCACGCACGTGCTGTCCGCTACCAACAGCAAGACATGCACACAAACGTACCTGAGAAAAGCTTCTTCTCGAAAGACCACTGCATGCACGGTCCAGCATACAAAACGTTGCGCAGTTGTACGTAATACAGTTCGCGGCACCTGCACTTGCACTCCAACATTGAGCATGCAACCGTAGCTGGTGACAGGAATAGAGATCCAGGATACTACACATACCGATCTTGGATACGCGCAAGTAACGTGGAGCGCTGCGACGAATCAAAGATCGATACACACAAAAACGTCAACACCATCCCAATGATCCGTCACAAACAATGACAACACAAAACCACTTCGCCGATTCGACATAAAAGCACGCGACTCACCTCATTCTCGGAAAGCTCTTTCATGGCTAAAATCTGCTTCTTCTTGGCCGACAGAGCTCGAAGACTGTATGTACGCAGTCACAATCAGACAAAAAGGCCTCTCACCTCAATTTACCGAATAGTGGCCTCTTTTATCCAGTAAATGCGTCATAACACTCGTCGGCATTGCACGTACCGAAGGGCGTTCGCGTACATATCCAGCAGAATGTAAACGCCCCACGCTCGACACGAGAGTCGCGAGATGTACATTGCATCGACATGCACCAGTTTCGGCGCTCTGCATTGCATCGCATGACCACATGACATCCGTCACAAAAAACAGGATAAGTGTCAATGTTCCCTATCCTGCAACATCGTCACAGCCAGCTTCTGTCCTTCCTCATCCCGCATACACAGCAAAGCGCCACGTCAAACACGCATAAACTCACACGAATCCCACATACGACACGTGCTCGAGCGGGTGATACACGACCATCGACAATGCCTGCAGCCGCACGAGGCGCTGCACGTGCTCGTCGTCGTCTTCGCAACACCACGAGCCCTTCTTCAGCGCCGTGTACGCCTCCAGTCCGCCAGTAAAGCGCATCACATAGCGCGCCATCGAGATACTCGAGGCCAGCGCGTGCATACCCTGAGACGCCTCGCGCTGCGTCGCAGGTGCCAACGCATACGCCGCTGCATCTATTCCATAGCCCAGTGTCTTGTACAGCTTGTCAGCGCCTAGCGAGCTGCTGCTGAAGCGCACGAGCTTGTCGACGTCCAGGAGCGCTGCCATGCGTCTGGTATGTAGTCAGTCGCCAGCTATCCCTCGTTTCGCCCCGGATAATGCGCTGTCTCCAAGTCGCGGATATACAGGATACGGAAGCGCTACCAAAGGCCGGCGTCGTAACCGGTCGATACAGGTCAGGTACGTGACCGTTGGTTTTGACCAGTAGGTTTACCGTCCCGAAATATACCGCGAGAACATTGCAACGGATAAAAAAAAGCGGTCGTTCGATTATCGGTCCAGCGCTGGCTTTTTGCGGCCTCCCCATAGCCGTTACAATCCGAGGGGCAAATCGCATCGTGACGCCATTGCGTCACTTGGTCTTTGTATGCCACGACACCATCTGTTGAGCGCCCGCGCGGTCGTCCGATCGTGCCGCAACAGCCCTTTTGCCCGGTCCGCCTGTCTGACTGTTCCCCCACCGCGGCAGGCGTCAGTCTCGAACTTAGTCCACACGACGCAAACGGCGACCGGCAGCCAACGAACGACACCGCAGACGACATTCGACTGCATTGAACCGCTGCTACTGCTGCTGCTGCTCTTGTGAGTTGTGCGACAGTGTTTCGAGTGGAACCAACAACGACACGACCGCGCGGTTTCTCTACCGTACACATTGAGCTGGTTGGATTGCATCGCTGGTGTGATCATCCGTGCGAAGCGACCGGAAGACGAACTGGTACGCGAGTTGTTTGGTGCCTGTCGAGTGGCCTCACGTGGCTCTTTGCAGCTCGATGGGTTTCTCATGTCGTCTGTTGTATCGTACTGACGAACGAACGGACGTGGTGCGCTTTTTATTGACAGCGAAAGAAAAAAGACAGCAGATTGGACGTGTTTGCTTGACCGATAACGTCCCGCGTGCTGAATTCCGGGCACCTATTGTCAGTCGTTTTTGCTGACTCGAATTGATCGTCCTACTGCACCGCACCGACTACTACTACTACTACTACTACCACTACCACTGACCGACCGACCGACCGACTTCTGCACATCATGTACCGGGAAGGATACCTCATTAAATGCGGACGCAACGCCTACGAAGCTCCCGTAAGCTCTTCTTCGCCCGCATCTACTGCCTCGTCACCTTTGGTACAGCTCACTAACTCCTCATCTCTCTCTCTCCCTCTGTGTCGGTCTCTCTATAGCAATTATTGTTTTGCGTCTTTGAAGACGGTGTGGTCAAGTTCTACTTGGACAAAGGCGGACTCGAAGTCGGGGGGCTCGAAATGGCGGGCCACGTGACCAAAGTGCGCGTGGAGAAGGCCGTGCCGGGCAAGTTCCCCTACCGCTTCTCCGTGTCGGCTGCCCAAGTCGTGCGGGTCGAAGGCCGTCGCATGAAACTCGGCGAGTCGCGCGTGACGGAATTCGCTGCTGCGACGAACGACCTCATGAAAGAATGGGCCAACTCGCTGCACCTGTGGCGCCGCATGAACTGGAAAGAGAACGTCAAGTTCTTTGACGACGCGAGCGAACTGTCGCAGGCGCAAGAGCTCGAGTCGCTGCAGGTGCAGCTGCACGCTGTCAAAATGGCACGGGGTCGCACGCTCTCGGGCTGTGCGTTCCGAAGACCGTTTGACCAGATCATGCACGGGCAGTCGTCACCTACGATCAAGAAGCTGCGTCAGCTGATGCGACACACGTCCACAGGCACTGCCACCGCAACGACATCGTGCACGGATCCAACGTGTTGACGCTCGACACACGGCCGCCTCCCGAGAGAAGTAGCCGTATCAAAACTACACCATTGCCACCCCCACCCCCATCGTCCCCAGCCACACTGGGCCACTGTCAGTTGTGCCAGTGCCGCCCAGCCTGCGTGGACGCGAGAGTGTATACATGTGTACGTGGATTGCGAAGGGAGGCCTTGACTTGGGCGCCTTGGCCAGACGTGTGGTTCAGCAGGTGTTTCGTTGCCGTCTGCGTGTACGTATGAATACAAGGCTGAACTTGCCCCGCTGCTGGGTTGTCTGTCGGTATCCAGTCAATCAGTTGATTAGTCGATACATCGGTGGATGGAATGGGGACAAGTGGCGCGAAGACTCGACGAGGAGCAGCAGCGGCAGCAGGAGGAGGAGGGGAAGAAGTGGTCACTTGAGTTTGACACTGTCGTCACGTGGAACGAGAGCCTTTGCAGTGTTCTTGTCGTGCTTGGCAAGTAAATACATGACGTTGTCGCTTGACTGCTCCTGCTGTTTCTTGTTGTCTGTTCAGCCAGTTGCTGTGAGCACGTAGATGGAGCGATAGGTGCCCTGTGTTGATACCGACGACTGTCTTGACGTTTCTGGCCACACGAGCCGCTTCCACGTGCGTCAATGCCGTCTGGAACACTAAAACTCGGCGTCGACCTCGTCAGCATGACAGAGCCACGCGTAGCCATTGGTTAGTCGTTCGGGATGCGCTCCAGCTGTGGCCACGGATGCACTAAGAGAGGCGCTCTGCATGCAAAGTAGTACACGACGTCAGTCTCTTTTGCACGCGTTCTCACGATCGTCGTCACATTGTTTTCCAGATAGCGCTAGTCGATTGGAAGCTGCCGTGGACTTGGCCTGCCGACTGACTCGGTACATCCGAACATGGAGCGCTGGGAAAGCAGACCAGTGCCAGTGTTGTCTCGGCATGGGCTTTGACATATTCGGGTCTTTTACAGCATTGTGGGTCTTGTCAAACGCTGCAAACGTGCAAAGCGAAACTTGTCAACATTGTCGCAGCGAGGTGAGGTGCATGTGTGCAGCATCACCGCCATCGCGTGCAGGCCACAGTCAAACGACCAAACTCATCCCATCAGTTAGGCTTCGCCTGCAGCGCCGTCAATGCTGTGGCCCCGATGTCGCATCGCCTGTTGCAAAGAGCCATGCTTGTTTGCTGGACACTCACTACCTTCGACTTGACCTCGACGTCGTCCGACCTCCGACCTTTCTAGACTTGCTCATGGACGCATTGGATCAACGACTCAAGACATACGCTGAGCTCTTTGCACGGCACCATCATCCAGTCGGCGAAAGCGGCCCAGCGCTTCTGACAAATGCGTGCGACTTGTTGGCAGGCAGTGGGACACAGCAGCACTAGACAATGAGCCGACCGAGTTCATTCTCGTGACCATAGCTCCATGCGGCGTGCTAGCAATCGACTTGTCGACGGACGCAATCTGCACGACAAACAGCGAGAAATGCCCATGGTAGGGTGCAAACAAGGTCACATGCTTGCTTGCAGGCTGCAAACAACTAGAATGCATACCTGTACACGAGCAGGGTCTGGTTCAGAGATATCTAGCTTTGTCGACGCATTTTTTTGGCTGCATCCACTTTGAAACGGCAGCACTGCCACAGCAAGCAGGGGTCTTTCTCAGCTGCATCGTCGCTGTCGGTGCTTGTTTGTATCGAACTCACAAGTTTGCAGCGCAGTGTATGAGACTGCCATCAGCAACTTGATACACTTCGCGGCAAACTTCCGAGCTTTATCAGCTCACGCTCTTTTGTTGACAACCCCACGTTTCGCCGCGCACCATCCCACAACGATCACCATAAGCAAATTATCGATCGACGCACATATCTCATACCCTTTCCAGTACCCAACATCTGGTAAACAGTCTGCTTCGCATTCTTCACACGACAAATGTACGCTCGACCTCTCTTCTACACCACTTAAGCTCGATAGCTCCTGTGTGCAAGTGTAACTGCCAGCATCTCGTTCGCAGCCCTTTGCCGCATCATCTAGCTATCTTCCAAGTTGATGCTCTGACCAAAGCGGCTGTACAGCAACTTCTTTAGCTCCTGCAAGCACCACAACAACAGCGCCGTCAGCTTTTCTCTCTCCCGACACCAGCCGCGTTCCTCTCATAGTTTACTCCTTACAGTCTGTCGAGCTTCCAGTTTGGACTCGACGGCTTCCAGCTTCTCGAGTTCTGCTTTTGCTTCCTGTATACACCATAGCGTATGCAGTCAGTCTCAACGCGTGTTCGACACAAAGCACAAAAAGCTCTTTTTTTTGACACAACGTGCCCCTTGACACACGCACCTCGACGCGCTTCTCAATGTACTCTTGTGCCGCATCTTCTGACGTTTCGACGAAGCTCTCGCCAATCAAAAGACTAGAAAGCAAACACCAGCAAGCGACCGTCGCGCGCGACCAAACACGTTGAGATCTGGATATTTCGACGCATCCGGATAGTATCCACTCACTGGACGGCGTCGCCCTCGCCCATCATGACGTCGGCACTGGCGTCATCGAGCGTATTGAGCGTCTCTTGGAGAGCCTTTTTCTGGTCCCGCACGTCGTGCAGCTGTGCGTTATTGCGTCCAAACTCGTTGATGCGGAGCTGGTCTTCCTTGCGGACCTAGAGTGGGTACACGTGCAGCGTAAGCGGTCAACAGGTACATCGTGATTACACCGCGAAATGGATACATGGACGGATATAATAAATGGTAAGAAATAAATAGGTGAATAGATAATTCAGACGATCGATCATAAAAAAATAGGCAGATATAATTAAAAGACAGATATAATTAAAAGACAGATATAATTCAAAGATAGATATCGTCAAGTGATGGTATATATATGACCACGAGAAGGTGGCGATTGCTCGCTATCGACCACGAGCACACGTACATCGGCCTCTGTTTCTTGTTGTTGCGCGAGCATGAGAGCGTCGCTCGATTTCTTCTCTTCGCTTGTCCAATGTGGGTCTTCGCCGTGGCCCAGTCGAATGTGACTGTTTTGTCTCAAATTAGAGTCTCGACGTAGAACTCGGGACCAAATCACGAAGGAAAGAGGACGTGAGTAATCATCACAGCGCGAGCACACGCGAGAGTCCATACAAATAATTTGTACAATTGTGTCATCCACACCAATCAATGCCTCGGGATGCAAACGACGTACTTAGCCTCTTGCACAGAGCGATATTTACGTAAATCGTAGTCGGGGGCAAAAAAAGCAGAGCTCTGTTCCGAGCAAGAGACTACTAAGCACGCAACAATTCGGTGCGCTATATATACTCAATATCGACACTATCTCTATGCTCCATGGACACTTCTCGTCATTATTCGCACTTTACGCTCACCTTGTGATCGACATTGGCGATCGAAGGCCCGTCAGCACCTGAACGTGTCCTTGAGGCTGCATGAAGCCGCCCATGACCGAGAAACTCGAGAGTAGTGCACCGGTCTCGCCAAACGTCGGGAGTCCGGGCATGATGGTCTGATACGGCCGTTTCTTCGGGGCCAAGGCATCCGGGTGCCCCACCTTTCCCCCATAGAGCTCAAAGCTGCATCCTCGCTTCTGTAGGGCAACGCCACAGTGCTCGGGCACAAGCCCCGCGCCAAAGGCGTCGTAGTTGCTATTGACCATTGACACGGCATTGCCCTGTCCGTCCACGACTTGGAAACTAACAGTGTCGCAGCTGCCTGCGGGACGCCCGTGCGTTACGTTCACCGCAGCTTTCGAGCGGTCGATGAGCGCTGCCCGTTCTTGCGCATACGCGGCACTCAGCAACGCCTCCACCGGCAGCAACGCATTGTGCTCGACGTCGCTTACGTACCACTTGGCATCGGCAAACGCAAAGCGAAGCGCTTCAATCTGCAAGTGCACTTCTTCGGCGCTACCCAAAGGTGGCAGCATCAACAGCGTATTGCTGTCTGCTTTCATCAGCTGCGGGAGAATGTTGAGCGCAAGCAGCGCCGCAATGCCCTGTCCGTTCGGCGGGGCCTCGTGCACATGTACGTCGTGGAACCGCGTGGCAAGTGGCGTCACGAACGTTGACGTGTGGCGCTCGGGATCAGCGATCGTCAGGACTCGTCCTCTCGCCTGAACACTGTCGACGATCACTCGAGCGATCCGTCCGTTATGGTACACGGCCTTCTTCCCGTGCTCGGCGACTTCGGTCAAACACGTGGCGAGGGGTTCATTGACAAACACCTCACCCGCCTTTGGTGCGTCGTTGCAGGCATTGAGCAATTCGGTTGCATAGGGACCTCCTTGGAGCAATCGATCTTTGCTCTGTTGCCAGCTTACTGCCGTCAACGGACTCACGGGGAACCCCTGACGGGCGAGTTCAATGGCTGGGGATAACACGTCTTTCAGACGCAGTGTCCCCCACGCTGCAAGGGCATCGACCCAACCTGCAACTGCCCCGGGGACCGTGACAGCGTGGCCGTGACTGCTGGGAATGGCTTTGACGTGCGGTCCTACATCGGCAATGACCTGTTCAGCAGTGAGTGCTGCGGGGCTGCGACCGCTGCCATTGAGACCGTGCACGCGGTTGGCCGGCGCGTGAAAGAAGAGCAGGAAACAGTCCCCTCCGATGCCAGTGGAACTCGGCTCCGTGACGGTCAGTGCAGCTGCAATGGCAATAGCGGCGTCGACGGCATTGCCCTTTTGTTTCAACAGCCGCAGCCCGATTTCCGACGCTAGCGGTTGGGAACACGACACCATTCCGTGGCGGCCGTACACGGGCGAGCGACTTCCGATGGAGACCATCGAGAGAGAGAGAGAGAGAGCAATAGCTAGAGAAAAAACGTGATGCGATCCGGTCGTGTGGGAACGGGCCCCAGTCCAACCGCTACGCCATGTCGCGGGCTCGATCCGATTGAGACGAGTAGTGCAGCAGAACAACTTGTGAGTCCTACTGGTTCAAGTACGTCGCTCGCTATGACAGCACGTGGAACGACAGTGTGCGTTGGATTCAGAGTATGGACTACAGAGCAGCGCGTCAACAACTGACAAGTTCGGTCTGCGCTCGTCATTCGTTTACGAGCGATGAAAAGACCACAAGGACCAGCGCACGCGTTTGCTACTGGATTCGAGTACCTGTTCCTCGTACATTGACAAGCGCGACGGGTTTCCAACCAAAGAAACAGACAAACAAACAGACAAACAGACGAAGAAGTTCGGACAGCACAACGCGTCTCAGTACGTTTGACTGGCATCGACTGAGCGCTTCGTTGATGCGTGACACTCTGTCGAGCTCGAAACACGATTACTGAATCCTACCGTAGCCAAAGCGACATAAAGCAGGACGAAAGAAATGAGCACTTTATCGATCTGAGTGTTTAGGCATACTGAAAACAAGTGCGAGGCGACGACTAGCAAGAGGGTATAATGCTACAACTGCTACAACTGTTACAACTGCTACTACTGCTGCTGATCCCTTGAACCTGCAGACCTCGACAAGAGCACTGAGAAACAAAAACAATGCGTCGTCTATTATTCGCTACGTCTGTGAGCATTCGCGTCGTCCCATGTGTGACTGCTGCTGGACCACACCACACCACTGCAACGTCCGTCCTCAAGACTGGAAACGATCGGTCGAGTGTGTGTGTATGTTTCTACCACCGCATCGCGCATATTGAGCACCCGTTCCCCGCCCTTCTTCTCCTCCTCCTCCTTCTACTCTACGTCCTTGTCCTTCTCCATCAGCAACTCTTCTTCTGCCTCGTCACTGTCACGGCCACTACTACTGCTACGACGACCGTACGAACTCTTCCACATCGTCGCGGCGCTGTAGTTCGCAAGCCGCTTGTAACAGTCTGTGAACTTGACGGGCGTCGCCACGAGCTCAGCTTTGAAATCGCTCGTCGTGATGTTGGGCGCATACACTTCGAACTCCTCGTCCGCGAGGAAGCAGCACACAAAGTCGTGGAAGAGACCGTAGGCGTTGACCCGCTCGGGGCCAGTCATCAGCGCCGCGCGCTTGGCCGTGCCAAACATGAGCATGCGCACTTCGACCGAGTTGCTTAGACACAAGTCGCGCGAGGAAAACCGCGGTCGAAACTCCTCGGGAATCAGGCACGAGGTGGACGGCGGGATCATGTGCATACTCAGCGTCGGGGGCGCCTTCGTTGCGTTGTCGCTGTCGAGGTTACTCGCTGCTTCCACGAGCGACTTGATGAGCGGCGTGACGAGCAAAATGGGGTCGTCCAGGATATGGATAAACACGAGCGCACTGATGATCGCCCCCGAGACGGCGTTGCTCATGCCGCCAAACATAATCTCCACGCCATGCATCACGTTGTGGATCACCGCTGTACCAGCCGAGACGAGCAAGATGCTCTCGGCCGTGAACTCGGCCGGGTGGTGCCTCAGGTTCAACAGAAACCCTCCGACCATGTTTTTCGACGTCGCGTTCGGGTCTTTCACCATCATCCTGCCCACCATCTTCGTGTTGGCCCAAAACTCCTTGAAAAACTCACTTGCCTGGTGCAAGCCGATCCGCGGGTGGCGGACGGTGTTCACAAACCACTCGGCCGCGTCGGCCGCCATGTGGGCGCCCGCGATCACCGTCTCCGATGCAAAGTCCACTGCCTTCTTGAACAAGTGCTTGAACTTGTCGGACCGGGGCAAGTTCATGAACATTTGGTGCTTCTGCCGGTTCTCGACCTTGAAAAAGTCCCACAGCGTCTCGTTCGGGTGGCTCAGCATATACGCCGTCATGGCGGCATCCGCGGCATTGGCCTTGAGCTCCTCTTCCGACAGGTTCGCCTGCTCTTCGCCGAAGTTCACCATTACGGGGCACACGTTGTACAGGTCCACTTCTGCTTGGCTCGAACCCAAGTCATCATCTCGCTCGGCACTGTCGCGCACGTCGTCGGATGACTGGCTGGAAACGACCGTGACGAACGTCAACAAGACGAGCAATAGCTGAGTAAGGGCCAAGTGCCCCATTGGATCGATGTGGAGCAAAAGGAATTGTGACGGCCGCTTCACCGTAAAGAGAGAGAGAGAGAGAGAGAGAGAGAGAGCGATCGGCAGCGCAGTTAGTGGTGACCAGTGAAGTGGAAGAATTGTCCGAAGGCCTTTGCGACCTGCGGGCGCTGTCCCACTCGTCGAGTGAGGCCGTCCGTTCTTCCTCTTCTTCCTACGGACGTGGACATGAGATGACGCCCGTCTCGTTTTCTACCCCCGAAACAATGCACTCCCGTGGGCAAAGAGGAGATTCTGGTCGCAAATCAGTCGACCGGCATGACGGAAAAGTCAGATCCGCCGCCGGATACATAGAGAGAGAGAGAGAGTGAGTGTGTGTGTGTGGGTTTGTTGGTTGGTTTGTTGGTTTAGTCGTCCAGTGTTGTTAGTTTTTTCGGCATATCCGACGACGACGTGCTACTACTGTGTCGACTGGTGCGTAGTACTGCTGGACCTGTGTCGGTTGTACTGAGCTGCGCAACTGCGGGCGACTGCTTTCGGTATCTCGTTTCTAAACGCAGTGCAGCAAAGCACACTGTGACCGCAATCGACGACTTGTTGCAGTCTCCAGCGCCACTTTAGCGGACAACAGTCGGTGTCGAAACCAAAAGTCGTACGTCGACGATCTGCTCGAAAATGTTGTTGCAGCTACTGCTTCTTCCACCACTCTGTAAGATGACCAGCAAGGGCAAAGAGGTTGTACACTTGTTCCTGCCCAGCCGTCGGACTTGTTGGCGAGATCCATGTGTCCGTCGCTGGGGTTGGGAAGGATCTCGGAATCTCGTGCCAAAAGTGTTCAGATGGACTATTCAGAGGTGAGCAGGCAGACGCCATCCATCTAATCTGCTGGCGACCGACGGCGAGCAGGTGACCTTACATGCGTCTCGCTACGAAGAGAGCTCAATCCTCGTGCCTATTGCAACGAGTGGTGTCGTTTTTACCGCTTGTTCCGTGGATGCAGAGGAAATTGCTGTGGTCATAGACGACCTCACGCGTCCGTCTTCGTATGGACGAAAGGTATGCACAATTGGACGCGTTTATATACACAACTAACAGGAGAGCAAGCAACTGACTCGTGCACTTGCTTGCATCCTTCGGCGTTCGTACGATCGGTCATTCGCCGTAAGAGTGAGCTGCACTTCTACTAAAAAGCTCTGCATGTTTGCTGCTTGTAGTGCCCCGATATATTGCACGATCGATGTGTATTCGTGCAACAGGACGCGCATATTGGATCGTTGACGGAGCGTTCATCCAGAGAAGTGAAGTACTCGACACAAACCCAATTTGACATCCGTCGCAACATCGGCCACATTCAGTCACGCCCACTTGCAGTCTCGTCCTTTGTCTTGTCCTTTGTATTCTGCATGGTCGCGTTCGTCGTCTTGTGCTCTGTCTCGCCTCTCGTGTGGGTCCATCGACGTTGACCCCACACGACACACATCGCCTTTCGTGAGATCGATAGCTCTTTCGAGCACTATGCAATCTCGAACACCAATGGCCGTTCGCGGAAAGTGTGCGGCTTATGCAGAAGTGGATCAGCAACGATGTCCGATATGCCAAGATACGCGCTCGAGGCATATTGTCGCACGAACTGCTTGACCGCGCGTTTGCACTTCGTCTAGCACCAACACTGCGCAGTTGTTTGTTTCCAGCACACCTTCTCTCGTGAATCTGTACTGTGCCGTTTCGCAAACAAAAACAACGTCGTCGTTGACGTGCAGGTGTGTGGGCGTGCTGAGAGTAAGCTACCGGATCGGATGCGATACAATGGAGACTCGTATCAAACTGTACGTGGATCTTTGTTGGTGCAAAGTGCATCCGCGGGCTCCCACTTTGATCGTTCGTGGAGCGATTTGTAAAGGTCAAGAAGGCATCGACGCACTTTGAATGAGTCATCGCGCACCGAAACGCAGCCAACAGTCACAGTGCATGGATTCTTCGCAGAAGTTGGGCTGCAGCATGTAGCCGACCGCTCATGACATCCGAGTTGTTGTTCTGCTTCTTGAACGAGTATTCTCATCTTGACCGCCCGCAAGGGAGTACAACGAGCTCGATTCTAGCCACAGATATACACACAGCTGCGTCGGGATACGCTACGCAGTGTAGCGCTTGTATGGACAAGTACGTGTCGCATGGATGTGGATCACGGCTACCATTGGCGTGCGCTGTAATGTATGGAACTGTTTGTTGCTCGGAAGGCGCCTCGGGCTTTCGGTCCGACGTGCTTTGTATGCATTTCTACCGACGAGCAGCGCATGCCGCACGTACGGAATCGCAGGTACTACCAACGCGTCTCTGCGATTCTAACCCGTTTGGGTCAACGGTGTTGTCGATAGGACTTCGGTAGTAGCTGGAGCTGTCCTGGCGCTGGAAGGACGACAAAGTCAGTCCGTCACGTTCAATGGCCAGAAAAATCAGCAGCGACCGAATCTCCGGCTGTCTTCAAGTGGAACAGCGTCGACAAGACGCGTGTGGTACAGATTCTCATTGGGCCGAGGCAAGCGGCAGCTAAGGCAGTGTCCGGTCGTGCAGCAAAGATCCGAGCAGTGAGCACTATCCAGTGCCTCGGAAGCGATGGACGCGATGTGTTATGACGCACAACAGCTGCTCGATGGGAGTCGTTGGATCTCCGTCATCTATCTGGGGATGCAGACAGACTGCATCCTCTCCTATGCCATCGACCTCGTTGAGTGAGTGAGCCGTGCAATATCCATATCGACTGCATCGAAAGTTGATCCCCTCGAGGATACTCACACACACACACATATCCTCTAGGGGATCAACATTTGCGATGCAGTATATACACACGCGCGCGGACACGACATATCCGCCTGTGGCGATTGATTTGCCCCCATTCAACGTCTCCTGCTCGACAGTAAGAAGTCTCCATGAGTCTCTGCATAGGGTGAGATCGACCCTTTCGAGCCCAAAAGGACGAGAAATAGCGTCGAGCTGCTGCGATTGTCGGACCGCCTCTTTCGGACGAGGAGACTGGAAGCACAGAACAGGGCGTCGACCAGATAGAGCGGTTCGGAGACTTGCGCTCAGTGGACTCGTTTTTGCCACAGCATCTGCTCGAGATGCCTTCGACCTGTTCGTTCACCGGTCTCCTCCCCCACCGCTCACTTGTTGCAATTGGCGGACAAAGGGCTCGAAAGCAGCTGACAACGCCCATCAGCACCGAAAGGTATCGCTGGAGGGCCCTCGTCGTCGCCTCGTGCCTCGCGCCAATGAGAACCAGTGGAGTCGAAGAGAGGGCTCACTGCAGCGCGTCTGGTGTGGGCCCTCTTTTTTGCGTTTCTGCCAGAGACAGACAGACAGACAGACAGATAAGCAGATAGATAGATAGATAGATAGATAGATAGATAGATAGATAGATAGATAGATAGATAGATAGATAGATAGATAGATAGATAGATAGATAGATAGATAGATAGATAGATAGATAGATAGGTAGATAGATAGATAGATAGATAGATAGATAGATAGATAGATAGATAGATAGATAGATAGATAGATAAGCAGATAGACAGATAGATAGATGGGTAGACCGACACTACAGCTGTCGAACCGACTCCTCAACTCGGTTGGTACCAACCAACCGACCTGTGGCATGTCGATCGAAACTCGCGTGATGTACTGCGAGCAGATCGTCAATTACATCCGCACCCACTCGATTACGAGCGAGACGTTTGCAGCGTACCTCAACTGGATTCAAACGGGACGATCAGATGGCTTGGAGCACACTGAGCCCAGGACGGCCAGTCAACCAGACTCGTATGGTATTGCCTTCGTTCCTCATACCACCTGTCTCCCAACACGCATCTCAAGCGAACGTGCAAGTCCTCCGCAATCTCTCAGTGCCGTCAGTTGCCAACTCTTGCTATCGCCATGACTCGCACAGGCCACGATGTTAGCGTCGCGTTTGCGCTCAACATTGCCGCGGGTGCAGCTACGATCCTAGGCGGCTTGGTCGTGTTTAGCAAGCGGCTCGTGTACTTGGCCAACCCCGCAAGCTTAGCGGTTGCGCTCAGTGTCTCGTCCGGTGTCATGATGTTCATCTCGTTCGCCGAGATCTTTGGCGAGTCGGTGCGCTCGTTCCAGAGCGGCATTCAATCAGAGAACATGACAAAGGAGACGGCCGAAGGGCACAGTTGGCTCGCGGCCATGGGCTCGTTCGGGGCCGGCATTGTCCTCATTTACGCGGTGGACGTCGTCGTGCACAAGATCTCACCCGAGCACGAGATGACAGAGATCGAACGCCTCGACGGCGTCCGCGACTCGCTCCGCGACTTGATCAGCAGCAAAGCACTGCCAAAGGCCTCGCCATCGGGTCTCGAGACGGGTCTCTCGACGTCGGCGGACCCAACAAGTCAGTTTCTCAAAATGGACGCCGCCTCGCAGCGGTCGCTACAGCGCATGGGGGTCCTCAGTGCCCTCGCAATTGGCATTCACAACCTCCCCGAAGGCATTGCAACGTACGTCGGTGCCATGCAAAAGTCTTCGGTCGGCTGTTCGCTTGCCATTGGCATTGGCCTGCACAACATCCCCGAAGGCATTGCCGTGGCAGCTCCGATTTACTTTGCCACGCGCTCGCGCTGGCGAGGCCTCATGTGGTGTGCGATCTCAGCAGTGGCAGAGCCCATTGGCGGCGTCATTGCGTGGCTGGCGATTGGCGACGGCATGGACGCCATCTCGGAAGGCATTCTCTTTGGCCTCGTGAGTGGCGTCATGGTGTGCATCTGCGTGAAAGAGCTGATCCCGACCGCGTACAAATTCGCCAAAGGCAAGACGGCGATCGTGGCCTTGGGGATGTTTGCGGGGATGTTTGTCATGATGTTGAGTTTGACGCTGTTTGCCTACGCGGGCGCGTAAGGGCTCTCGCGGTTGTAAGCATTTGAATAAATAGAGATTCGCTATGGAGGAGAGTTGAAAGGACTTGCACGTACGTGTGTGTACTGCTTGCAGTGTGTCCGTTGTGGGGTTTTCTGGTACAACTACAACTCTGTCAGTTAGCTGCGACTGTGCCCGCGGTAGCTGAACCCCATCTTCCATGAGGTAACTGTATAGAAAGAGTTGCTAAGAGCGGGCGCGGGCTGTGCTGGCCATTCGATCGTTCTGTCTCATTTGAATGTCGACACACAGAAGCAGCGAGTGAGATTGCGGCGATCCACGAACAAGTCGCCTTTTGTATGCATCCTTTCGGAGGCATCGCCTAGTACGTGTTATTGCGAGTTATGGCATGCAAGAGCGGTCTCTCTCTCTCTCTTTGTGCACCGGAGACCGTACAATGGGAGTGTGTGTGTGTGTGTGTGTGGCTATTCTATCTATTGCGTCTGCTTCTGCCCGATTAGGTCGTGAGGTATTGATCCAACGACTCGCCCGAGATGTCTTCAATCTGCTTGATCACGCGGTGACACGTCTTCTCCACTTCGACGTTTGTATCCTCCATGAGCTCGGCCAAGAACGGAATGCTCTCGGGCAGCATGGACAAGAACTCGTCCCCGATCACCTGGTAGCACTTCTCTACAGTCACCAGTGCGGCCAGACGCACTGCTGCAGACTCGCCACGAGACTTCATCAGCACAGCATAATGCAGCGGCTTCCACAGCAAATCACTCTTAGCTGCCCACGCCAAATTCGCCAAACACGGTGCGACCGTCTCGAGCACAAACGCACGCATCGATGGGTCGTACTGCACAACGTCCAGCACATCCACCAACGGAGCGAGCACAATGTCAAAGCGCTCCTTCTCGATAAAGCCGTCATTGTCGTGCACAAAGCAGCCATCGAGCGCACGCACTACCGTGCTCAGCAACGCTGTGTAACGTTCGCGCTCAGCCTTCACAGTCGCTTCGGACGACAAAGCACTCCGTTTCGCCTTTTTAGCAGGCGGTGCGGCTGCCTCACTAGCAAAGAAATCGTCCTCGTCGCCGCTGTCGTGGTCGTCCGACGACTGCAACAGCTTGTGCAGCAAAACCTTCCGGCTTTCGCACAGCGACGACGTCAACAACGTCAGCACGTGTGCGTAATACGGGACGAAGATGCCACGCAGACGCTCCGAGAGCTTGACGACCAGCTTGAAAAACGAGATACGGCGCGAAATGTCTCCACTCTTGTCAGCAGAGCCCACCCGCGTCTGTGCCCACTCTGCCAGCTTCAAAAACAACGGCTTCAGCTGCTTCTCACTTAGTTTCAGGACAAACTGAACAAGACAGTCCAGCACCTCTTCTTCCACGGCGTTCACGTCCTGCAGCTTCGACGCGTGCACTCGACGAGCATCCAATGCCGTCACGAAAAAGCGGGCAAACAGAGGCAAGTACTTCCGGATCGCCGACGACTCGAGAGCATGTATGACCGTTCCCACAGCCGAAAACAATCGACCCACGCTCGTGTCGCTCTTCAGCGTGAGCACGTGCTCATACGCTCCAAACAGAGCAGGAAGGAGCTGTCGCAACTCGACGTGGTTGCACAAGTTCAAAAAGCAGCAATCAACAGACATCAGTACACTGGCATTCGCTGGAGCAGACGATAAGAGCGCTGGTGTCAAAAGACAGCGGACGACAGCAGGCAGGTACGGGCCCAGAAACTGAGGAATCTTGTCGGTGAACACCTCCAACGCTGCGAGCAAACACTGCAACACTGCCTTGCTGCCACTTACTCCTCCATGCATCGACAATGACGAGCAATACTCGATTCCCTTCAAGAGTCGAGGGAAAAAAGTCGGTAAGAGAGGGAAAACAATCGGACCGACGGCGCGGGCTATCGACGACAGGCACACGAACGCAGAACCAAACAAGTGCATGGTCATGGAAGACGAGTTGACAATGTCCAGGTCCACGTACTTCGTAATCGTCGGAAGAATCGTCTGAAAGCGCTTTGTATGAGTCGCTGCAAAGTTGCGCGCCAAAATGTCCACGCTAAGTAGTGCCGTCTGAATGTTCACGCTGTTCTCAGTGCCTTCAGGGTTCTGCAGCATACCATTCAGCTCGTCCAGCATGTCGATAAACAGCAACGCTTCGCCCAAAGAGAGCGAATCGCGCTCTTCCTGGAGACGCTGATTGAAAAGCTGCATCGCCTTCTTACGTACCAAGCTGCTGTCATGGTGCAGCAGCTCGCTGATGACTGCGACAAAGCCAGGCGTGGACAGCAGCTGCTGAAGGGTGCCCAGGATGTCCATTGCATCTGTAGCAAGGGCGGCCCAAAATCCGCTCTCATCGTTGTGCGAAGACTGTTCGCGAGCGACCCGGCCGAAGTACAACAAATCCAGTTGCGCCAGCATCAGGTAATTGTGTTGCAAAACGTCGACATCATCATCGTCGTCTTTCGACTGATCGCGCTTTCGTTCATAGCTCAAAATCTTGTGGTGTAACTCGCGCGAACGCAGGTGTGCAGCAACAAACTTGACGAGAATCGAGTTCATTTGTCGAGCAAGCGCCTTCGACTTTACCAACCTCTCGTCCAGCACAAATCGTTCGTATTCGACACCGTCACTATCTTCGTCTTCGTCAATCTCGTCAGTATCCGTATCGGCATCTTCCACGACATGAGGCAACAAATCGCGCGTCAAACGAAGAATCATCGCCAAACAAGACACTTGCTCCGAGCATTCAAAGCTGTAGCACAGACTGTGTGCGAAATGAATACGCTCGCGTTGGCTGTCCATGTCCTTCACAATCGCCGCGTACTGCAGCAGCGCCATGACACAGAACGGTAGTAGCTCACTTCCGAGAGACCCGACCACAACCTCAAAGAGAGCCAAACGCTTACTCTTTGGAATCTGGCTGAAAGCATCCACAAAGAGACTGATGAACCGCTGCGATGTGATCAGAGCACCAGCTTCTTGCTTCTTGGCTATCACAATGTGAGGAACCACTGCCTTGATTATCGTTTCAAGGACGTGGTACGAATAGTCGTCCTCGAGACGGATCGAACCAGTGCTGACGAAGCTCAGGATGTTGTCCAGTGAGGTAAGCACACTTGCAGGGTACAATCCCACCAGTGAGCTAATGAACAACAGACCTTCGTTACGCGTCTGAGGCGACGAAGTACGACTTAGGCACAACAGTGTGTGCTTGACAAGAAGCCCAGGCTTCACGCTTGTCGCCAAGCTCTTGGTGCCGTTTGTCAGGCGTTCATCGGCTTGGCTGACAGATGGAGACACAACCTCGCACACTCGACGCAAGCAGCTGAACAGGACCTGCAAGATGTATTCCGACACGACGTCCTCGTGACTTGGGTCGCAGAAGAGAGCTAGCACGTCGCACAACGTTGCGAGAAGCTTGTTTGCGTCAAATTCTGCCCCCTTGTAGCTCAAAGCATTGTCGACTCGGATAGCGAGAACCTCAAGGACGCAGCTCAGCTCTGCTATTTTCACCTCACTAGATAGCTGTTTCGTCAGCAGTCCCACGAATATACCATGGCTGATAGGTAGATGGCTAAGACACTGAACCACCTTCGAAACAACAGCTTCTTCTGCGACCGTCAACAAACCGACCAGCTTCTCGACGATCGCAGAACGAGACACATGGTCGAGGACAGCGTAATACTCTGATGACAAATTTGCCGCCAAAAAGACTTGCAGCTTCTGACAATGCGAAACAGTGCCCCTTTCGGAGCGCAAGACAGCCAACAAGGCTTCCACAAACTCCTTCGGGATCGCTCTCTTTCCTTTTTTCGTCGTTGTCACAGCAACATCCACGTCCAAGTAGTGCCCGAGGAATTCAGTCAGCATTTTCGATGTCGACTCATTGCCACCGTTTATCGAGCACCCAGACAGGGCTTGCTGGAAAAAGTCGACAGACTGTAGCCAGAATGAAGTTCTTTTCACTGGCGCCAACAAACCGAGTAGCTTCACTGCAATGCACACTTCGTCATTGCTTGCAGAAGACACAAAGTCCATCAGAAGCTGGTAAAACGCAAAGCTCTCTGGTTGAGCACTATACGTGCCGCAAAGCGCGACGACCGAGTTGCCATCCATCAGCATGTCCTGCTTTGCCTGGAGAAAAAACGAAGACGCATCTTGCAGTACTTTCAGATCCGCTGACTTTGGCGGTCGCGCGGCCTCTTCACACGATAAAATCCAGCGCTCGAGGCACGAGGCCGCAGAATGACGCACTTCCTTACTACGATCCGAGAGCGCCACGATGACAACGGGAACTACGTGTACGAGCTGTTGCAGCTCTTTGTCGGACTCGGTGCATGATAGACCCTCGAGCACAGCAGATATGATATCTAGCGAGCGCGTTTTGGCCAGCACTTTCAGCACGTCGTCCGTGGATACAGGCTTGATGACAATGCGTGCCATTGTCGGCAGCAACTGATCCGTCAGGTCTCCATGGAACAGGTCAAGTAGACACTCTTGGGTGCGAACGAAGATGGAGTTCGGAGACTGCAACAGTGTTGCGACATGACTGTCGAAATCATCACGGGACGCAGCAAACTCGTTGTGTGCAATCCCAGCGAGTTTTGACGCGATGCGCGCCGCGTATGATTTGACTTCTGATGACCCGCCAGCTTCACATAGCGACACAAACTTTTCTGTCAGGATACGGCCAAACGATTTATCCAACGACGCCAAATGCTGCCGGTCACTTTGCGACATCAGGTCTTTCGCTGCTAGCTGAGAGCTAGCCACAGACAGGACGTCGATCACAAAACTCGAGAGAGACTCTCCACTGAATTCTGACGTCCGTGTCCAGCTCAAGCAGAACGGTAGCAATCGTGGAACGTCAGCAGCAAGAGCTCGTCCGAAAGCTTCGGCCATATCGTGCGCACTTTTGCCAGTTTTTGCCAACGACTTACAAGCGCTCACACCGAATGGATGGTCAAGCGATGCAAGCCAGGTCCAAATCGTATCCACAGAAACAACACTGCTCGAACGCACGAGCGAAACAAACACAGTCAACAACTTCTCGTCCGTTTCTGACGACGCAGCTACCTTACGAAAGTTCTTCAGTACAAAACCAGCGATAGCCTGGACAAGGGCAGATTCTCCACGAGCAGTCCAATTACGAATCGCCTGAACAAGCGTCTCGAGCGCCTTTTTCGTCGAGCTCAAGGCCAGCATCAGATCGCCGAGCGAACTAGATACCATATAATGGACAATGCCCTTGTCGTCGTCCAGCATCCGACGCAAAAGCACGTCACCATTCGCCAGAACCTGCTTCTTGCCTGTTGACGTCACATCCGTGTTCGCATCGTTCAGTTTTGCTAGCGAGTGTAACGCCTGATATCGTGTGCGCTCAGCCGGGTGGTCCAGGGCAAGAGCCAATGACGTGTTCGCGTCCGTAGACGATGGCACAAAGTGCGCCGAGTTCGCCACGTTCTCAAACGTCTTGGTCAGAAACTTGTTCAGCTTCTTGTCTTCGGTACTTCGCTTCGAGAGCAAGTTGCTGATCGCGGCGTCCACTTTCGCCGCATTTTTCTTGCTCAGCGCAACAAGTCCGTGGGCAATCGCTTGTACACGTGCGTTCTTCATCGCGAATGTCTCTGCTTGAGCCTGTGCGACCATCGTCTCCACCAGCTCACCCGTAAACTCGTCCACTACCGACACGCGCTCAATCAGCGTCGTCAACAGACGAGAGTACGCGTCGTCGCTAGCCTTCATGTGTTGTGTCAAAAAGACAATCAAAGTCCGCACAAACGTGGCCGACTCGTACGTTGCCGTCGCATCACGCACAACGTCAGCTGCGTTGTCCATCTGCACCAAGTGCTTGCCTGCCGACGCCGACAGTCGGAACGACGGCTGGGTCTGCGCGAGGTAAATCACGCACAGTAGCGCATTCAACTGCGCCCCTGCATGTGTGTGCTTGACCAGTGCCTTGACCAGTGCGTCCACGACTTTGTCCGTCAACGTCGCTTTCGACGCCAACTTGGTCGTGATCATGTACGCCGACGACTGCAACTCGACAAAGTCCGAGCTCTTCAGTGCCGTCAGTAGCTGCGGCACGAGCCACCGCAGCCGCTGCTCCGTGACTTTGCACTGGTCCAAGAGCTGCAGCACCACGAGCGTATACAGCGACGTGAGCTTTGCATGGCGCGCGCCAATGCGCGTCGCAGCGGTAAACACAAACTCCACAATCGACGCGTCGTCCATTGCCCGCTGGACCAGCGCCGCGCGCCGCAACGGCGTCGCGTCGTCGCCCAACTTGACCGCCAGCAGAAACTCCCACCGCGTCCCGTGGATGTGCAGCAGCCGCACCATGCGGACAAACCACGTCGACTCGTGGTACGCGACAATGGTCGCCATCACCGCGTCCACGTTGTACCGGTGCACTTCGTAGCGCCGCACGAGGAACTCGAGCACTTTGTGCGCTGCGTCCAGCAAAAAGTACGCGCTCAGCGCGTCCAGCACCTGCGCCAGCGCCGCATCCAGCGCAGGCGCGTCCGGCAACGCGCTCTGCGCGCGGTGAAAGTGGATCCGTTGCCGGCTAAAGAGCGCAGCAACGTGCGCGTCGGCCTCGAGCGCCTCAAAGCGCGCGTCGAGCTGCTTGAGCGCCTCGAGACCCTGTTGCGCCCCGTGGAACACCGTCTCGTCGTCCAGGCGCGCGGCTGCGCGCGGGTCGTAAAGGAACGAGTCCGTGCGGCGTTTGCTGCCGGCACCGCCTTCGCGCAGCGCCTGGAGCTGCCGCGTCAACGCGCTCGCCATCGTCGCAGTTCGGAAGTGGCGAGCGCGGCGGCGGCGCGGAATTGATTGGCGGAGAGCGACAGCAGTGGACGGACCTCCAGCCAATGATCGAGCGGGTCGTCGTCGCTTGCATGGAGGCGACGAGCGAACCAAAAAAAAGCAGCGCGTGGTGTAAAAAGCGGTTGGTTTGAGGTGTGGGTGTGTGTGCGTGTGGGTGGTGGGTTTTTTGTGTCTCGTGCGTGTTTGGGCGTGTTTGGGTGTGTGTGTGTGTGTGTCTGTGGGTTTCGCTTGCGAGCGATACAGCTTGTGGTAATTGTTATCCCACGTGTGGATGGATCGATGGGTTTTATCCACGTGTGCATCTCGTTTTGGGGTTTACAGTGTTTGTTTGTTTGTTTGTTTGTTTGTTTGTTTGTTTGTTTGTTTGATTGTGTTTTTTTGGGCTCGCGTGTTTGTTGAGCCCATTTGTTCCGTGTCGGCTGTGAATATGACCGCGTCGCGCGTGGCGTCGAGAGCGATGCGAACTCGAGCGGTGGCGTCGATGGCCTCAGCCGCCGCGACGCGCTGTACAGCGACGTACCCGCGTTCGGTAAAGATTGTGGAGGTGGGGCCGCGCGACGGACTGCAGAACGAGCAGACGCGCGTGTCGACAGCGGATAAGGTGCAGTTCATTCAATTGCTGTCGCAGACGGGACTGCGTGCGATCGAAGCGACGTCGTTCGTGTCGCCCAAGTGGGTTCCTCAGGTACCACTGCAGAGACGGAGTTGGTGGCGTTCGTACGCCGTGAATTGAGTGGGTGACGGAGCTGTTCACTGACGTGACATGGGCGGCAGATGGCGGACCATAGCGACGTTTTAGCGGCCATTGATCGTCCAGCAGACGTGTCGTACCCCGTGCTGACACCCAATATGCAGGTTCGTAGCGCTTGCGTTTGTTTGTTATTTCGGGGTTGGATCGCGACAGTCTGTACGGAGGTCTCAGTGTCACGGACTTTATATTGGGTAGGGATTCGACCGAGCTGTCGAGGCAGGTGCGACAGAAGTCGCTATCTTTGGCGCAGCGTCGGAAGCGTTTAGCAAGAAGAACATCAATTGCTCGATCGACGAAAGCCTGGCGCGGTTTCGTCCAGTCTGCGAGAAAGCTGGTCGTCTCGGCATTCGCGTCCGTGGGTAATGAATGGGCTTTTGAGCGAGCAAGACCGCTGTTTGTTACTGCTGTTGTTACGACGCATGGCTCTTTGATGGTGGTCAGGTATGTCTCGTGCGTGCTGGGATGTCCGTACCAAGGAAGCGTCGAACCAGATGCAGTTGCGGCAATTGCTCGGGAGATGCTTGCAATGGGCTGCTACGAAGTGTCACTGGGAGATACGATTGGTGTGGGCAACCCTGGTAAGGCCCGACCAGCGGTTTCGAGACTGCTTTCTTCATTGATGGCCACCTAACTATGGTTCATCTCGTTCCTCATGCTTGGTAAGCCTCGACGCTGGCCATGCTGCACGTCGTGAAACAAGTGGCCCCAGTCGAGCAACTTGCTGTGCACTTTCACGATACGTACGGGCAAGCGCTGTCCAACATCCTCATTGCACTGCAGGTACGAACGACGAACAAGTCTCTCGAGCGCTGCTTGAGCTCTGCTTGGTCGAAAAAACTCAGCTCACGCGCTCTCGTGCTGTCGTCTACAGGAGGGCATTGCGGTCGTGGACAGCTCTGTCGCCGGCCTTGGCGGATGTCCGTACGCAAGCGGAGCGTCTGGCAATGTCGCGACAGAGGATGTGCTGTACATGGTGCACGGCCTCGGCATTCACACGGGCGTGGATCTGGACAAAGTGATGGCTGCAGGCGCGTTTATCACCAACGTGCTCGGTCGTCCGACCCAGTCGAAAGTCGCGCGCGCGTTCGCACCGACCGAAATCAGTCGGCTCTAAGAGTCGGACGCTAGCGGACGTCGTCGGTCATAAGTCGGTTTGCAACAGGATAACGCGATGCAGTCGTCGTCGGACGGTCTTTTCGTTTTCTTCCAATCAGATCTCGTCTTTGGGGTATACGTACCCCGCACGCACTTCAGTTCATCCACCGCAGTCGTACACTGCGTCGCTGCATTTGTCCGACCAGCCACAAAATTGACAGGGGGTGTGTGTGTGTGGGAGTGGCGGCAGCACAGCCATGGGCAGCTTCCTCACGAAGCACAGGCCGCACTCGTCCTCTACTGCATCTGCATATGCTGCTGGGGATACCCGCACGGGTCCGAGTGGTGTAGTACGTGGACAGATCACGTCCAAAGACAAGGCCGTGCTCGACCTCAAGAACGCCCGCGACCGACTCAGACGGTATCAGACGCGACTCGACATTGAAGCAAAGCAGTTGCACGACAGTGCAAAGAAGCTACTACAGTGTGGCAAACGAGTGCGATCGAGTTCGACTGACTGATTGAGTGGATGAGGTGGGGTGGGGAGGGGCTCGAAAAAGCTGATGGTGGATCCTGTGACTGTTTGTTTGCTTTGTTTGCTTTGTTTAATTTGCATGGATGGATACAGGACCGTGCAAAGCTCGCGTTGAAGCTGAAGAAGTACAAGGAGCAGCAGATGCAGCAGGCGGACGGGCACCTGATGCAGGTGCTGGGAATGCTGGACACAGTCGAGTGGGAGACCCGACAGCTGCAGGTGTTTGAAGGGCTCAAGGCGGGCAACTCGATTCTGAACGCTATCCACAAGGTCCGTCGTGTCTGTTTGTGCTGTTGGTTGTGCACGTCAATCGATAGCACTGACGAAGATGACGCTCTGTGTTGTGGTCGGCCTTGTCGTTGCTGTGCTTTTGTCTTTTTTTGGTGAGCAGGAGATGACAGTCGAGGCACTGGAAGAGCTGATGCTTGAGACGGAGGAAGCACAGGCAATGGCAACTGTACGGTCCAGTACCGCATCGTTAGTGCCGTATGGACAGTCATGCCAGTGCGGCTCACGACTTTATGACGTGGTGCTTTTGATTGCAACAGGAGATCAGCCGGATCATTGGTGGCAACTTGACGCTTGAAGACGAGGACGCTGTGCTCAGTGAACTCGCCGAGATTGAAAAAATGGCGGCAGATACTCTCGCTCTTGCGATACCGGAGGCTCCTCTTGCCACGGTGCTCGAGGCAGGTACGCTGGCAGCCATCGCTTGCTCGTCGTCTGTACAAATGTTGTGTAGCACATTGCTGAAAGGAACTGACGGGGCCGCGGATGTCGTTTGTTTTTCACAGCACCGCCATCACCATCATCAGCTGAACAAAGTACAACGCACATCAGTCGCGCCCCTGCGATACACAAGAAGGAATCCGTGGCAATGTTAGGGTGACGCTGTCAAAGGCCCGGCAGTCCGTCCGTCTGTCAGTCAAGTCTGTCACGGGATCGTAGTGTAGACGACCTCAATCTCAGCTTGTCCCGCAATGACATCGACTCCTGCCGCACTTAAGCACGTATCGTGTACGTGTATACCACCAAAAATAGTGTGGCGCGCTCTGCCGCACAGTTCCAGCTGTCTCGTGTGGGACACACGAAGTAGCAACAAACGCATCACCGGCGGCACCCCACGAGCGATTCGAGTGTCGACCGTTTCGCTTTTGTGATTTTCGCGCCCGCTTTTCCGCCCCACACTCGTTCAGTGGGAGTGTATACGTATATGTGTATCTGTGTGTGCGTTTTTATTTCGCGACTCAATCGACTTGCAGCAAAAAAGAAAAAGAAGAAAAAAAGAAAAAAAGACAAAGAAGAAAAAAAGAAGACGAAGACGACCACAAAAGGTGTACCCATTTCCAGACTGCTACTGCTACTGCTACTGCAATGTCTGCTACCGACACGTGTGTGTTTTTCTCGCCCTGGTGCGACCCCGCGTCGTTTTACCTCTACTTGGCCGTCTCGATGGTTCTCATTTGCGTGGCGGGTATGATGGCTGGCTTGACGATGGGCCTCTTGTCGCTCGACATGCTCAACATGCGGATCCTCGAGCTGGAGGGCTCGGACGAGGAGAAGACGTACGCGAAACAAGTGCTGCCCGTGCTCACGAAGCACCACTTTTTGCTCGTGACGCTCTTGATCGTGAACGCCAGTGCAAACGAAGCCCTGCCCATCTTCCTCAACAAGCTCGTGCCGGAGGCCATGTCCATTGTGCTCTCTGTGACGTGTGTGCTGTTTTTCGGCGAGATCATTCCCTCGGCGGTGTTTACGGGCCCGAGTCAATTGAAAATCGCCGCGCTGTTGTGTCCCTGTGTGCGGGTGTTGATGGCCATTACGTGCCCCATTTCGTATCCCGTTAGTCGCGTGCTCGACCTGTGGCTCGGAGACGACCATGATCCCGCTCAGTACAAACGCAAGGAGATCAAGGCCCTCGTGACGCTCCAGCGGGAAAACAACGTGGCCCGACGGAACTTGATTGACCACATGCGTCAATCGCAGCAGCTCGACGACCCATCGACGCACGCGCGCACACTGACGACCATGTCGGCCATTCGTGACAAACAGCCGTTGCTGAATCCGCACGCGCTGTACGAGAACTCGGCCCAAGGCACAAGTCTGCACGTGGATGAAGTTACGATCATTCATGGCGCGCTGGACTTGGCTTCCAAGACCGTCACGGAAGTGATGATTCCGATGCAAGACGTGTACATGCTGGAGCTGGATACGGAACTTGGCCCGGACATGTTGGCGAGCGTGCTGGCTTCTGGACACAGCCGCATTCCAGTGTACGAGAAGCACAAGTCGAACATTGTGGGCCTGCTGCTTGTGAAGAAGTTGATTGTGCTGGATCCGGACGACCGTCGCCCGATTCGGGACTTGATACTTCGTAAGCCCATTCTGGTGGGCCCGAAAGAATCGTGCTATTCGATTTTGAACGAGTTCCAAAAGGGGCGTTCACATATCGCACTGGTCACGAAGGACGTTGACGTTGTACTGAAGTGTTGGTGCTCGGACCAAGAAATCCCAGCCACCGTCGTGTTTGAAGGCATTGTGACGATCGAAGATGTGATTGAAGAGCTCATCCAGGAAGAAATCGAGGACGAGAGCGACGTCTTTGTGCATGGCATTGTGGATTACTGGCAGACACGTTACCGTAGGATTGTCAAGGGCACGGGAACGACGTTTGTGAAAAAGCGCCTTCGCCTTCTGGCAGACCGTGCTCGTCGACGTGTGCGAAGCCGTCGCTCGAAACAGGCGGCGGAGTCTGCCACTGCTAGCTCTATGAGGTCTGCAGGCTTGCCTCACGTGGCTGCTCCTACCATCATAGAGGTGGTCACCGAGGAGACACCGCTTCTATAGAGGGGAGAGGGACGATGTAAGGCTAAATTGGCTGCAACAAGGCATGTACGCGTGATGTACGAACACGAAATCGTCTTTAAGCCGTCCATAGTTGCGTTCCATCAAGCTTAATCTGCGTGATGGAGTTGCGAAGGCCAACGCACGGAATGCAGAATCCTGTGTAAATACAGATAGACGTGCATCTGAGACCCTTTTGCCGTGTCCGTGCTCGATCGTTTCTCGTATGTGTTCGAGCCCTTCGTTTATACGACAAGAGGCTATCCTATCATCGGTCGTTCTGCATAGTACCGCCTTTCATAGCTCTTCTCAGCATTGACGCGCTCGTTCATGAAGAGCTCTTTCTGCGCCCCTAATTGTAGCTGAGTCTACAGCTAAACAGAAAACAATCAGTCAGTCGTACGACTCTCTTTTGTGGCCCGAAAACAACAAAACATACGTCATCCTAAAGCGACAAAGCCGTTTGTTGAGATCCGTACAAATGGTGCGCTATAGCTCATGAAAAAGTCGCTCATCACTCCGAGATTGGTCGTTGTCACGATTGATACGCGAAGAGATGTGGTGCAACGCATCATGTGTAACTATTTCTTCACGGCACAACTATCGATGCGCTTCCGATCAGCTTCGTTGATCATAAGACCGGTACGAGCGAATGGCGAGGAGGTCGTCAATCAAAGACGATTCTTAGCTTGTGCTTGCTTGGTCGACATTTCGGTTCTTAGGAGTTCTTTGGAGCCAAGTTCTTGCGCTTTTGCATGTATTTGCTCGGACACGGCTTTACCAGCAACTGCTCTTCTGCAATAGAATGTCGCACCCAACGCTTGCTTGCTGTCAAAAACAACTTAGCGTGGGCATGACAACATAGATGACACCAAGCGCAAGTTGGCTGCGTAATGACAGCCCTGTTTCAAGTAGCAGTGCCAACGCAGCCTCTGGTCCCACGTCGTATGCAATGACACCTTCGCCTACCAAGTGTAGCTAGTCCTTCCTGACTGTCACAAATTGATATCTGCATCAGCTTTCACGCTCCCTGCTTTTCAGTCATTACTTTCCTTCTACCAGCAGCGCCAAGAAGGAAAGCTATGCTCGTAAATGTTTCACGCAAGCATCTCGTAGTGTATCTGACCCGTCCCTCTCGTCGTCCGCTTTGCCAGCGCTGTCATCTTCACAGCAGTCACGACCCCCACCGCTTGTTTCCACTTCTACAATGGTGGGATCCAGTGTCAACCTTATTCGCGACCACACTCGTGGTCATCTTTTGTTATCTCGACTATCAGTCAACACAGTCTCGGATGTTATCGCGGTCGACGGCATGCGTTGTCGACACGCATTGTCCCAGGTGACATTTCACGCGTGTCAAGCCTATTCAGGCTCCTGCAGGGGTAACGTACCTTGTCGTTGGTCTAGCAACGTCCGGGTCTATTTCCCGTTTTGTTCCAGGTGTCCCTGTATTGTTGAAGTGGTACGGATCCTTTGTCAGGCTACACTCCGATTTTTGACCGATTCAATGAATTGAGTCTGGATACGTACATCACACAACAATCCGATCTAACAGCACCGCACAGCAATACTGAAAGACCGCTATCAGGAGGATCGGGAAATGGCCGACCACGTCTGGAAGAGAATGTGGCACATTCTTGCGACGATGTGTCTTACAAGGCTGTGGACCGACCGCAATGAAGCCGTCTACAGCACAGTCGTGTCCGACCTCCCCGGAACCACGCAGAGCTTTTGGACTGCATGCGTCTGCCAACTTCGCGCGATTGCGACCAGAGAGCACAGAAAAGAGGCTTCAGCCATCATGGGCGCCGTGCTATTATCCAGCATCGAGTTGCTCGAACGAGCACCTGACGGGCCTCCAGGCACGTCAAGGGCTAGCCAAAGCCACCCTTTGGACAAACCGGGGCTGGCCGTTTGGCTCCGCATTTACCAGAGATCTTGTACATAGCTAAACCCATGTTAATAGACCATCTGATCACAAAAAAAAAAAAAAACAATCCGATCTACTGTAACCTCCGCGAGCTTACTGAACGCCCGTCCTCTGTACCACGAGTTGTCGGAAGGATCTCTGTGGATGTGTAAACACTTGTCGTCTTCTCGTCTACCACTTGTGCGTGATATAAGGCCAAGAAGTAGTGCGCAGTCACAAGCTCGACGTACGTCACTCACCGATCCAAAAGTGGCACTACTTGGTCATGCGATAACTCTGCTTGTGCTGTGGAAGAACGAACGATTGCGAATACATGATTCACCGAGTGGCCAGTCCTAGCAGAGACGTGCGCGTTCTTGGAGGACACCAATGCTCTCGCGCGGCGAAGTTCGTTGCCAGTTTCGAGTATCGTAGCTCTTTTGACCAGGCAACATGTGACGGTGCTCTTTTTTTATCGTGGCTGCTGTGTTTTCTATTTGTTTACTGATGCGTCAGTACTTCATGGCAGTCGCACACGACTCTGGGATCACGTTTGCTTTCTGTAACCCTTTCATGCTTCAACCGTTTGCAATGTTCGTACCAAGTCCGACGTTATTCTGACAGCGCAATGCCTGAAAACAAGTCTGATACATCAGCGGCAGTAGCCTCAATGGAATAGCTACCGTGTAGTTTGGACCCTTTCTGAAGAAGGGAGCTGTTGTTCGGCTAGGGCGAGTTGCCTGTTTACTCAACGACACACACGTACTTGCAGTGCTTTTCGTTGCTGAGAAGTATGAACGGATAGCGATTGATTGGCAGCCTTTCAGTGTGTCGGATGTGTCGTCAAGGACGATGCAGCATTTCACCCGTATAAGGAATTTGCGAGATGGAGCCTGTAAATGGCACTTGTGTGTCACGACGACACTTACCGTTTCATCCAATTTGTTGCTCCAAAGAATGTGCCTAGACAATACTGTGGAAGGTGAGCCCCTTCTACTACAGTATGCGGTCGTGAGGCAAAGGTGCAGCGTGTGCTGTACAAACGGACAGCAGCTGTTTAAGACGCCCCGTATCGATCCTGACACTTTCTGTGTTGATAAAACAATGAGCTCGACACGATGCGACACTGTCAACTTGCCAGCTCAAATCCTTTCCCACTGACCGGTCTGGCTGCTTAATGAAAGCGTTCGTAGCCACTGTGGAATCCTGTCGTTATCATCTTGTCTACGTATCCCGGAAGTAGCGTGTCACTCCAGGCAAGCACGGGAACAGAGTGTTTGTAGTTGAGAAGCGTTGTGCTAGTAGCAATGGTCTGCAGTGCCGCAAGTCAACTTGCAGTCTGATGAGGTGGCTGGTGCCAAACTACAATGCAATGGATTCTACTCAGCAAGATACCGGCGATGCTGTCGCGTCAGTCATACGAGCGAGTGGTCGTCGAAAAGGATGCAGCTGACATCAGTCTATTGCGTTCCTATCGGCTGTGCTCAAAGCGTTGACTCGCTGGTAGTACAATGGCTGCAGCACAAACACCACCAAGTTTGGAAATAAAAAGATTGCACCTGTAACGACCCGAAGCTCAAGTAGAGCCACGACATCAGCAACGAAAGTGTTGTTGCATGCATCAACAGGTCGATGGCATCATACATACTGGCACTGTGGTCTGTCGAGTTTGCATTGCTGCCTTTTACGATATCAGGAGTTCAGCTTTAAAGGTATCGCCACGAACGCCATGTCGTACTACAAAGCTGTTGGGTGGGGATTGGTAGTGTGAGCTTCGCTATGCTCTTGGAGTGCCTGAATGGTACCCGCCATCGGCTCTACAGCAGTAAGTAGCCGGTGTCGCGCAAAGGACGTGGTGCATACTGGTACGTATGTGTTCAACATGCTAAACTTGAGAGCGACACGAGAGCGACACAGGAGCCACAATCGCACGCTACAAACCCAACGTCTCTGGTCAGTGTAGCTTGACTCGAGCTGATCTCGCAGCAACTGTTGCACTCTAGGCCGTACTAAATCGAAACATGAGCATCGAGACCTGCTTTATACGAAGCAATGACTTATGCACCGCCGTTCAGTAGACAGATGTGGTCGTAGCGCGGTGGCCATGACGCTTTGCCGACACATGCTCTCGATGCACAAAGTAATCAGAGCTTGCACAGCATCTCCAATGCCCTGAACAAAACACAGATGTGTTTGCGGTCGAATACCATCAAGTATGAATCACCTGCCGCAACGTAAGCACAAAAGAATGGATACCTGTATTCGAGCACATGTTCGCATGGCGATTGGCCATGATAGTATATAGGTCGATGATACATGTACACAATCGATCCGAGGCCGACACGAACCAACTGCATTGGTAAGCGATAGTGAGCAAGGACACACTCTTGCGTCTGCCAATTTGGCGCTGTCTTCCATGTACACCGCCAAGGTGTAGCCAACGAAGAATCGCTGGTTCACAACGGCAACATAGTCAAGACATAGAGCACTCCTTTGTCGGTCCATGGTAGAGTGTCGAAGTACTTGACGGTCCATTCATGCCTACAGCACAGTGCGCAGCGGAAATTAGCCGTTGCTGTGTGCTATGACTTGTGATGTTTACTTAGTCGCAACGTGAGCACGAAACTTGTTAGCGATGATACTGGTAGGATGTGGAAGCGATCGTTCATACGTGCTGGAGCTGCTCGAGTGCTCTTCCTGTCGTTGCGGGTGTCTGTTAGTTGGAAACCACCAGTTCGGCGTGATCAACACTTGTCCAATTACTGTCACAGGCTCTAAATGTTAGGTGACTGAGACGCTATGACTCTTGAAAGCAACTGATCGCTGTTCATAGTCGCTGCAGTATTGGAAGAGGTGAGCGCTACGCGTGGTGCTCGACGTGCTCCTAGCTAAGTGCAAAATGAGTAATGCTACGTGTTGTCGACATATGAGTGAAGCTGAGCGCTTATTCTTGACCTACACAAGCTGGGCCTGGCATGCCACGCGTAACAGGCAGGCGGGCAGTGTACATGACGTCACTAGAGTCATCACCATCAATCGTGCAAAGATCAAACGGCTGTGCACAGATTGAGCCGCTCGATTTGCCAGTTGCTCA